CCTGAACCACAAACTGTGGCCTCTGTTCTCCCACCATCTCTCCCTGCTTTCTGTGCTGCCCCCTTCAAGAACAAGAACCCCTGGAATCCTTTCCCTGCTCCTCCAAGTCCTGCTCTTCATAGTCAAACAAAGTCAGTGAGAAAGAAATGATCATGATCGGCCATGAAAGGCCCCAGGGTCCTGGCGCGCCTTGTAGAGCTGCCCTCACCTTGTCCTCGCTCCCACACCCAACAGGAGCTCCCATGCCTTCCTATGCTGAGATGTGCAAGCCTCTCTCCGGGCCCTCATCACGACAGAAGGGTCCTTCCCACCACACCGAGTTTGGCCCCTCCTCCATCTCTCTCGGTCAGTTCTCCCTCCCTTCCTTCTCAACCCTTATTCCACACCACTCTCTTTTTCTAGATCACTCTCAATGGCAGCCAGGCTTACTCTTTTTTTTTTAAAGTTCTATTTATTTATTTGAATGGCAGCATTTCAGAGAGAGAGAGAGGGAGAGAGAGAGAGATCTTCCATCCGCTGGTTCACTCCTCAAATGACCACAACAACTGAAGCTGAGCTGATCTGAAGCCAGGTGCCAGGAGCTTCTTCTGGGTCACCCATGTGGGTACAGGGGCCCAAGCACTTGGGCCATGTTCCACTGCTTTCCCAGGGTATCAGCAGGAAGCAGCTGGGGCTCATATGGGATGCCAGCACCGCAGGTGGCAACCAGCCTCAGGCTTACTTTAAGTGAAACTCTCCTTTGACACAGATACCCTTCAGCATTTCCCTGTTTCTCTTCTTAGTCACTTGCAAACTTGTTGAAATTTGTGTCATGGGGCCAGCGCTGTGGCGTAGTAGGTTACACCTCTGCATGCGGTTCTGGTATCTCTTATGGGCACCGGTTTGTGTCCCAGCTGCTCCTTTTCCGATCCAGGGAAAAGCCTGGGAAAGCAATGAAAGATAGCCCAAGTGCTTGGGTCCCTGCACCCACACGGGCGACCCAGAAGAAGTTCCTGGCTCCTGGCTTCGGACCAGCCCAGCTCCAGGCATTGCAGCCATTTGGGGAATGAACCAGTGAATGAAAGACCTTTCTCTCTGTTTCTCCTCTCTGTCTGTAACTCTGCCTCTCAAATAAATAAATCTTAAAAAGAAAGAAGAGAAGAGAAGGGAAGAGAAAGGAAGAGAGAGGAGAAGGGAGGGGAGGGGAGGAGAGGGGAGGGGGGAGGGAAGGAAAACCTCTCTCTCTCTCTCTGCCTCTCCTCTCTCTGTGTAACTCTTTCAAATAAATAAATAAATCTTTAAAATAAATAAAGAGTTGTATCCCCAGCTCCCCAGGGTGCCTCTAAATCTCCTGGGGTGGTAGGAGGGACTTTCTTCTGTAGCCCCAGCCTGGCCTTGGTGGCCTCACACCAGACACTGAAACTGCTGGTACAGCCGGCAGCCGTCTGCCTCCTTTGTGCGTGCTTCTGCGTGGAGCGTCGGCTGTGGTGCACAGTGTTCACACAGCTCCCTCCTGGAGCACCTGTTCTTGGTTGGGAAGCGTCCCTCCTCCCACCCTGGCTTCCTCCTTGTACCTCTGCCTGCTGATTACCCAGGGTCACCTTCTCAACCTCTGGGCTGGCAGTTCCAACTTCTCTTAGGTAGACTTTCCTTGGGCAGTTGTAATCCACTTCCATGACTGTCTACACAACCCAGAAGACAGGTTAACTCAAAAATATACCGCCTCCAGCCCGGATGGCTCGGTGTCTCGCCTGCCCAGCTACCTCAACTCAGCATTTTCCCTTTAGTCTCTCACAGGCATCTCCGCTTTGGCCATGCCCAAAGATCCAATCCTGTTCTTCCCTCATCTCTGCACGTGGCCAGGTCGCTGGGTGACAGCCTCTATTTCTCCCTTGCCCTTTCTCACTATGCGTACTCCATCTGAAAGTCCTGTGGGTTCCACCTCCAACTCTATTTTGAATCCATGCATGTCTCTCTATTTTACTACCACCACCCTGTTCCAAGCCATCCCCACCTCCGGCTGGTAAGACTCTCCTAAGGCTCTTGTGTGCCCTGCTGTCTCCCTCTACTACCGATCCTCCATTGTACAGTCCAGAGTGTATTCGGCTGTGAGGTGCGGTGATATGATGTATCATTCTCCTACTTTTTAAAAAAAAAAAAAAGATTTATTTTATTTATTTGAAAGACAGAGTTACAGAGAGAGATAGTACTGAGAGAGAGAGAGGTCTTCCATCCACTGGTTCACTCCCCAGATGGCTGCAACAGCTGGAGCTGTGCCGATCCAAAGCCAGGAGCCAGGAGCTTCCTCCAGGTCTCTCACATGGGTGCAGGGGCCCAAGCACTTGGACCACCTTCTACCGCTTTCCCAGGCCACAGCAGAGAGCTGGATCGGAAGTGCAGCAGCCAGGACTAGAACTAGTGCCCATAAGGGATGCCAGTGCTTCAGGCCAGGGCTTTAACCTGCTGCACCACAGCGCCAGCCCCTCATTCTCCTACCTTAAAAAATGTGAATAGCCCCCAATAAACTGTGAATCACATACAAGTAACACAGTTTGCCCTCTGCCAAACTCATCTCGTTTCCTGTTGCTCCTGACTGGACCCCTGCCCACGGCTTACTTGCAACCACTGGCACTGGTCGTGTCCTGTCGCCGCCTGAGCAGGTGCTCTTCCATCTACCTTCAGTGCTGTCCCCGTGGTCTTCGCTTGGCTGGCTCCTTTCCATTTCCTGTGCTAACCTCTGCTCCTAGAAGAGGCCTTCCTTGCTCTGACTAAATAGATCTCCCCTTTCGTTCCCTACCTCAGCCCCCATTTGTTTTCTTTAGAACACTTCACATCTTGTGATTACTTACTTGTTTACTTCTCCCTCTTTGCCACTCAACTCTAAACACTCTGAGTCCAGGAACTTCAAGTCTGCTTTACTCAGAGATGGGCCCAGCACCTGGCACAGTGCCTGGAAAATATTAGGGCTTTTAATGCGTGTGTGAATAAGTGCATGAGTGTGCAGGAAGAGTCACAACCAGTCCACGGTGACTGTGCTCGTCCACGTGGCCCAGCCACCTGGGGGCTTCTGAGCTCATCTGATTGGAGTGCAGACAGAGACAGGGAGAGTCAAGGCTCAGTCTATGCTCCGTTAACCTCTTCAGTGTTCAACACCATGTTTGATTGCCCCACTGCATCTCCAGCTTCCACAACAGCACAGCCCTACTAAACGCTGCTGACTGGCTGGGCTCCCCAGGTCTGAATGAGACTGGATGGGAGGGGACGGGTGCTGCTGTGAGGGCAGAGATGTCCCAAGGGAGAATATGCTAGAAGCACAGATTCACATAATGGTTTTTGACTTGCACTCGTCTCCATTTGTGTAATAAAAGAGAAGAAAAAACAGTTTCTTATAATTACTTCATCAGATTTTTTTTTTTTTTTAAGATTTATTTATTCAATCGAAAGGCAGAGTTACACAGAGAAAGGGAGAGAGAGAGAGATCTTCCAGCTGCTGGTTTACTCCCCAAATGTCTGCATTGACTGGGGCTGGGCCTGACCAAAGCCAGGAGCCATATGGATGGCCACAAAGCCAGGCACATGGGCCATCTTCCACAGCTTTCCCAGGCTCGTTAATAGAGCACGGGATCTGAAGTGGAGCAGCTGGGATTCGAACCTGTGCCCTTGTGGGATGCCAGTGTCACAGGCAGTGACTTACAATGTGCCATCAGGCAGGCTGCCAGATTTGTTTTATAACAGGAGAATGAATATCATAGTTTTAATTGCTGAGTAATAATGTGATACTTGGGAGTCTTTCTCCAACAAAAATATTTTGCTTATAAACCAAATCCTACCTCTGTTGGACAGGCAGTGTGAATGGAAGCATTCCTGTCATCCAAACAAAGAAACCAAGGGCAATTTAAAATAGCTGATATAAGCCAAACAAGCAAAGGAGCTAAGACACTCCCACCGCCACCTCATTCCAAAGCCTGTTTCCTTTCGACTCAGACAGCGCTTGCTCATGAAAGTGAAAATAAGAACACGCCTACCCCAGATGTACTTTGAGGCACGGCTATCACACCCTAGAAGGACCGTTAGCCTACTGGGACTACCAAGACAGAAAAGCCAGAGGCCTGGGTCTCCTTGCAAATGTCAAAGCTGGCGTCCTGGGTGTCTGACCGACCTGCTTTGCAGAAGAAACCCAGCCTTGCCTGGGCAGTTTCACTAGCTTGGATGTGAGGTTCTTCATGCTCTGTAGTCATGCTTGCTTCACATGTGGCTCTGCCAAGGGGACTAGCTCGGCTCCACCCTTCTGGGGAAGGGATTTGCTTTCCTGTTTAGGAAATGTGATGTCAAGCTGAAAGAGGCCGATGAGCACACTGGGTGGAACCATCAGCGAGCCCCGGTGAAATCAATTACATGGGTGTCTTAGAACAAAATTGGGTTTCAAGTGGTCAAGGACAGGGTGTGTCACCGTGGGCTGTGAGCCACTGTGGCTTCAGCTGTTTGTTCAGCCTTTAATATGTTTATCTTTGTGCTAAACACATTGTTGTTGAGTCATCACTGTTAGACCGCCACTTGGTGCGAGGCCCAGCTCTGCAAATCCAACGTGCAAAGAAAGACAGGCCTTCAACCCCAGTGACCTTCCACTCTGCCAAGTCAAAACAAATGCTCCTCTGACTTCTCAGTGTTGGGAGCAAGGTCCTCAGGGTCTGGAAAAGGCTAATCATGTATCCTCTGATCAGGCCAGGACCTATCAAGCAACGAAAATTAAGGAAGAACTTTAATAGTCATTGTTTTACATAACACGTAGTATTGTTGCCACAAACCGAAAATGGAATGCCAGTTTACCCAAATTGATTGTGCACCTCAAACCCACAGTATTTCATGGTACATTTTTTATGTTGTCACTCATGTCAAAGAGATTCTATTGATCAAACAGATAATTGCATTAAACGTCTAAGCTTTGGGAAGAGGGTTAAAAAAACACCTAATTCTGAAAAGTAGAAAAACTCAAGAAATGTTATCTGCTTGGCCTTCCATAGAGATTGTTCGAGCCATGACACATGTGATAAACCAAGGCATGGCCATGTATTGGGGCACCTCACGGTGGAGCGCTATGGAGATCATGGTAAGTTACTTTCTACTTTGTTATTTCTATTTATCCACTTTTGCTTCTTCAAAACATCAAGAGACAGAAAAAGAGAGAATGCCACAAAGTTCCTGTCTACTAGTTCACTTCCCACATGCCCACAATGCCCTGGGCTGGGCCAGGCCAAACCAGGAACCAGGAACACCATCTGGGTCTCCCACATGGTGTCAGGGACCCAACCATTTGAAACATCATGGGATGCAATCATCCCAAATGGTGACTTAACAGTATTAAGAGCTAGGCCAAACACCTGCCCCCAAAATTTCTATTTTTTTAAAGATTTATTTATTTATTTATTTATTTGGAAGTCAGAGCTACAGAGAGAGAGAGAGAAGAAGACACACACACACACAGAGAGAAAGAGAGAGAGAGAGAGATCTTCCATCCACTAGTTCACTCACCAGATGGCTGCAAGGGCCAGGGCTCGACCAAATAGAAGCCAGGAGCTTCTTCTGGGTCTCCCACATGGGTGGCAGGGGTCCAAACACTTAGACCATCTTCTGTTGCTTTTCTCAGGCACATTAGCAGGGAGTTGGATCAGAAATTGAGCAGCAGGGACACGAGCCAGCGTCCATACAGGATGCTGGCATTGCAGGCGGCAGCTTTACCCACTACGCCACAAAGCTGGTCCCCTAATTTCTATTTTTAAATAGCAATTGAGTATCTTTTGATTGTTCTCAGATATATGAATAAATAGCAATATATTTTGCAAAGTTGTCCCATAATGACTATGGAACTGGAATTCTGAGGTCAATTCCATCATTTTAGAGATGGACATTGGGACTGGAGCTGATCAGCTCAGAAAACAACAGGGAAGACCTAGGTCTCTAATGGGAATCATGTTTTAGCACATTCTTTGGCAACAAGAGAGCAAAGTGAGTTTTACAGTTAATGAGATACAAGAACAGTATTCTAGTCTTCTCATAAAAACTATCATTTCACAATTACACTGTTTATAACATGCTAATTACAGATCACTTTTATATGTGCGTCATAGTTTTATTTCTTTAGGACTCTAAAAATAGTCAAACAACATTTTCTTTATAATCATCTATAATTCACACTTTGACAGATTTGCCCTGGACTTTCTTCAGTACAGAAACCCTCCCAAAGAGTAAGGATTTCCCCTACTAGGCATCGTTTTCAGTGAAACTGATGGCCACAGCTTTGCTTATTATTTGGCATTCTTCATGTTTCTTGGCTTATATTGATTTCACTAAAATGAACATTCCACATGCATACAGATCCCAAGGAAGCCTATTTCACAACATTGTAAATTCAGCTGCAATCTCATTTCTCCCCAGGAAGCCTATTCTGTGGCAAGACAGTTCAATATGATCCCACCAGTCTGCGAACAAGCCGAGTATCACCTTTTCCAGAGAGAGAAGGTGGAGGTCCAGCTGCCGGAGCTCTACCACAAAATAGGTAACTGTCGAAGTCAAATCCTGCGAGCAGCTTCAGCGGGAACCAGCGACTCTGACATTCTCTCCTAAATGGCCCTAATTAACATAGAGATTGTCAGAGCGATGCACTGCAGAAACAATAGCAGAATCAAATGTGCCTGTAGTTAGTCTACAGGATGTCAATGATGAGAGCCAAGCGCGGTTGTCGATCGTGACTGGCATACAAGCTGTACTCAGTGGGTGTGCAGAAGGGTAGAACCAATGAATAATCTCATTTTCCCCCGCCCCAGCACGCATCTTTGAATAGACAATGGCTGCCTGTCCTAGAACTCACAGCCGCATACGTCTATATGAGTCTCTCCAACTCTGTGCCCGGCACCGAGTTACGTACATACGGGGAGTTCCAGAACCATGAGCAAGGCAGGCGCTCCACATTTGTGTAGGTACAAGTCCTCCTTTCAACAAGAAGGAAAAACGTATGCACAACATATACATAAGAAACGTGACATTAAGAAAACATGAATAAAGAAAGAAGGGGGGGAATAACCAAGAGTAAACCACAAGTTCAAGCTTTTTGATCAGAAACAGTTCGCAGAAATTCCTATCCTCCTAAGAAACAGAGGCTCACAGGAGCAAGATAATGCTGGGTAGGAAACAAAAAGATAAAAATCCAACAGTAGTAATGCTTGTTAGCATTACTATCCCTTATTGAGTGTTTCTTAAAACATGTATTTTATTTATTTTGAAAGGCAGAGTTACAGAGAGAGGGAAAGACAGAGAGAAAGATCTTCCATCCATTGGTTCGCTCCCCAAATGGCCACAATGGCCAGGGCTGGGCCAGGCAGAAGCCAGGAGCCAGGACCTTCTTGTAGGTTTCCCGCATGGATGCAGGGGCCCAAGCACTTGGGCCATCTTCCACTGCTTTCCCAGGCAGAGAGCTGGATTAGAAGTGGAACAGCCGGGATTCGAACCAGTGCCCATATGGGATGTAGGCACCACAGGCTGTGATGGTTTAATCCACTATGCCATAGTGCGGGCCCCACTTATTGAGTGTTGACTATGTACTAGGCCTGGTGCTCCTCCTGCTGTATACTGAACTATGTTAGGCACCGAATGCACAAAGCACTGACTTTTTGTGCAAGTGAAAGTACTTGTCTCACAGCATAAAAGAAATGTGAATTTTGGGCATCCGAATATCATGGTAAGCCACATTTTGAGCATGCTTACATGAGAGAGCTTCAAAAAGTTTGTGGAACCATTAAATTAAAAGACAATGCACATTTTCCATGCACCTTTAGAAGCCCTCTCCTTGTTAAAACCGACAATGTTTGCTTAATTGCCTCATAAAAGACTGAAGTGCAGCGTGTAAGTCCTTACAGTTTTTTAAAAAGATTTATTTATTTGTTTGAAAGTCAGCATTACTCAGAGAGAAGAAGAGGCAGAGAGAGAGAGGTCTTCCATCTGCTGGTTCACTCCCCAGACGGCCTCAATGGCCAGAGCTGCACTGATCTGAAGCCAGGAGCCAAGAGCTTCTTCTGGGTCTTCCACGTGGGTGTAGGGGCCCAAGGACTTGGGCCATCTTCTACTGCTTTCCCAGACCATAGCAGAGAGCTGGATGGGAAGTGGAGCAGCTGGGACTCAAACAGACGCCCATGTGGGATGCCGACACGGCAGGTGGTGGCTTTACCCGCTACGCCACAGTGGCGCCCCAGTCCTTACATTTTAAAGCCAAGGTATATACTGGCACTACCTCATCTCTCCGGCCAGCTTGTTCCTAAATCTAACCCAGCTCTGTTTCAACGCTCACGCACTTTTGATGCCAATCTGCACAAGCAACTTGTTTCTTTGTTCTCTAGGGGTTGGTGCGATGACATGGTCTCCACTTGCCTGTGGAATCATCTCAGGAAAATATGGAAACGGGGTTCCTGAAAGTTCCCGGGCCTCACTGAAGGTACGGTCCTGGGCCTCTGGAAGAGTCTGGGAGCGGGGCGGGGGAGGGAGGAAGATTGATGAGAACAGGCCGGCCGCAGCCCGGGGCTTCCCGGCTCAGGCAGGCCGTGGCCTTGGCCTGGCAGTGGCCTCTGGCAGGCTCTCCTGAACCTTCCGGAGCTCTCTGCTCCTGGCCAGACATCAGTCAGTCCTTCATAATCTGCCTGCGCAGAAAATTCTCCTCCTCTGGGAACCGGGGCGAAAGTGCACAATGACCTGCTAGGACTTGCAGGCTCAAGGCCCTCCATGGTTATTTATCCTTAGGGTAAAGCAAGCCTTTCCTTCCTTGTTGGAAGCTGGCAAAACTGAAAATCCCCTTTCTGTGTAAGAGGATCGACTTTTTCCTTTTCTTGACAAAAGAAAATTCAAGCCGCAGAGGCTTAATCCACAGGAGGCAAACGGTGGTAGCTGGGAGTGCGCCCAGGTTGGCTTATTGTGTGTTGGGGGGCAGGGGTGAGAAGGGTGGGCTCAGAAGACACACACAGGCAAAGCCTCTGCCCTGACGTTCTGTGACCCATATTTGTAGAGATCAACTCTGGCTGTTTAGGCTCACAGCTTAAATTCCGCTCTGGAGCGGCAAGATTTTCAAGATCAGAGAAACAAAATGACCTCCGCTCGAAGCATTTTGACGGTTAAATCATCGGAGAGTACTCCAAACCTCTCTCCTTATTAATAACAAATGGCTGTTTTCAAAAACTTCAGAGAAATGTGTAATAACATTAGAATCGCACATTACACTGTAATGACAAGGGAGACAGGAGAGAGGCATTTTAAAAATTCAAACAAGCCACAGTTTTCTTAAGAGCAAGCACATGTCTGACCCAGTCCAGGCCGCCACTGGCACAAAGTTAGCGGGAGATCAGCTCGAGCGAAGCCTGAATGGCCAACCCTTTCATCAGTGTGGCGGCACCCGCCGCGCTTCCCTAATTAGAACCTTCTCAAGGCGCTACGTCTCTCTCTGTCCTTTGTACCTGAAACAGTTGAGCTTTCACCCTTCTTGTTCTCTGAAATTATCCAGTGTAAACATCTCCTAGAGCATGTTGACATGATCCTGTTTCTAGTTTTGTATTAGCACAAAAAACAATCATCCCACAATATTAAATAAGGTCCTGGAAGTTGAAGATTGCTCTGGACCAAATCTAAGCAAATTGGCCAAGAAAAACTAAAAGCATCTTAGGGAAGAAGGTATCAAAAAGGAAAGCAAGAAGGTAGTGAAGAAGGAAGGGATGCATTGAGAATCGGGGTTTTATTGAGCACTTACTATGTGCCACACCCCGTGCTGTTTTCATTCATCTCCACTTATCCTCACAAAGAGAAATGCATATAGATGGTTTTCAATTTGTTGTACCAGTTGCTTCTCAGCTTACAAATGGCATTGCATGCTAATAAGCACATGGTAAACTGAAAATATTTTAAGCTGAACATGCATTTAGTATTTTAAAGGTTAATTTATCTATTTATTTATTTAGTTGAAAGGCAGAGTAACAGAGAGGGAGAAGGGGAGAGACAGAAAGATCTTCCATCTGCTGGTTCACTCCCCAAATAGCTGCAAAAGCTAGGGCTGGACCAGGCCGAAGCCAGGAGCCAGGAACTGCACCTGGTCTCCCCCATGGCTGGAAGGGGCCCAGCGATCCGGGCAGTTCTCTGCTGCTTTACCAAACACATTGGCAGAGTTGGACGGGAAGCAGAGCAACAGCAACTCAAACCAGCACTCCAGTGTGGGATGTCGACGTTGCAAACACCGCCTTAACCCACCGCCTCACAACAGCAGCCCCAGAATATGCAGTTAATACACCTAACTTACTACACATCATAGCTTAGCTGAAATGTGCTCAGAACATTCACATTAGCCTAAAGCTTATTTTATACTAAAGCGTTGACTATCTCACATACTTTATTGAATACCGTCCTGAGGAGGAAAAACTGAAGATTGTATGAGTATGCTTTCACACTGTCATAAAGTTGAAAAATCCCAAGTCAAACCACTGTACAATGGGAACCATCTCTCAGAGGCTTCCTAAAAAAGTCAAAGTACTTCCATATATGCTGGGTGTTTGCTCTCAGACTAACCTTCCGTGAGGGTAGACTTTTCCAGATGCAGCGACTGAAGCATGAAGACACAGACTAACACTCCAAGACCATAAGCTCATAACAGATAAAGTTGATATTAGAGACCAGGTTTCCTCACTCTAGGTTAATTATCTCCCCCAAAGACATCTTAGTTTCCCTCCAACCCAGGCTTTTATCTTTTTTTCTAAGATTGTATTTATTGATTTGAAAGTTAGAGTTACAGAGAGAGTGAGAGATGGAGAGATAGAGACAGAAATAGAGAGAGGGAGAGGGTGAGAGAGAAAGAGTGAGAGAGAGAGAGAGAGAGAGAGAGAGGGACCCATCAGCTGGTTCACTCCCCAGATGGGCAATATCCAGGTATCCAGGGCTGGGCCAGGTGGAAGCCAGGAGCCAGGAGCTTCATCTGGGTCTCCCATGTATCAAACCCAAAAAGTTTTCACCTTCAGGAACCCACCAGCAAAAGGAGAAAGCGAGGAGTGGAAGAGGGAGATACAACATATTTGATGGAAAAATATTTCTATTGGTGACTTTTATAAAGCCATCACGTATCTCCTGAAACACCCTTGGCCATAAACATTAAGAGCTGTCTCCAGGTGAGAGGCAGCTGGTCACAGACCACACTTCTTTCAGGCTCGGCATACTCTCCAGGTCTACATTATCAACCTGAGTGTTTTTGGAGATAATATATGTGCCCTTAGAAAAGCCACCTGATTAAATCTACAAAAGCCAAAAAATAAAACATGAAAGAAGTATCATGGGTAGTCTTAAAGTTTAAAAAAAAAAAAAACAAAAGTAAACATAGATAGGTGGGCATGTAATAAGTCGGTAACTTCCATCTTCCACGATGTTTCACAGTGTTGTGATACCAGTCAAATTAAGATGCCAATATTTTGTGTCTGTTCTATGTGATGAATAGCAATTGAAGGATCAGTTAACCCAGTATGAAAATTAGCTGCCTAAGGCTCTTTTAAAAAATACTACTATGGGGACCGGTGCTGTGGCATAGCAGCTAAAGCCACCACTTGCAGTGCCGGGATCCCATATGGGCACCGGTTCGAATCCTGGCTTCTCCACTTCCTAGCCAGCTCTCTGCTGTGGCCTGGGAAAGCAGTAGAAAATGGCCCGAGTCCTTGGTCCCCTGCACTGGCATGGGAGATCTGGAAGAAGCTCCTAGCTCCTGGCTTCAGATCGGCACAGCTCTGGCCATTGCAGCCATCTGGGAAGTGAACCAGAGGATGGAAGACCTCTCTCTGCCTCTGTCTCTGCCTCTCTGTAACTCTGCCTCCCAAATAAATTAAAATAAATTTTAAAATCTTAAACAGAAAAAAAAAGAAAACATTAGGCCCACAGAGAATAAGTCTCAAAAAAAAAAAAAAAACCTACTACTGCACAGGGGGTTTTCTGGGTGGCCTCATCTTGCCCACACTCTAACAGTGACTTCTAAATCTGTGTCATCGGGGCCTGTGCTGTGGCATAGTGGGTAAAGCCATCACCTGCAACACTGCCATTCCATATGGGTGCTGGTTTGTGTCCCAGTTGCTCCACTTCCAATCCAGCTTCCTGCTAGTGTGCCTGGGAAAGCAATAGAAAGATGGCCCAAGTGCTTGTGCCCCGGCACGCACGTGGGAAACCCAGGTGAAGCTCCTGGCTCCTGGCTTTGGCCTGATCCAGCGGTGCCTGTTGTGGCCATCTGAGGAGTAAACTAGCAGATGGAAGACCTCTCTCTTTCTGTATCTCTGTCTCTCCCCCTATCTCCGACTTTCAAATAAATAAATAAAGCCAACGGAAGGGAAGGAGTCCATGTCACGGCTGACTTCACTGCTGAGCTACACGCCAACACTTCCTCCAGTCTTAGAGATGTCCCGGTGGATGTCCCATGAGCATCAGTCGTATCTAATGGAATCTGTCCTTAGCTCCAGAGCCTGTCCTTCCTTTTTGGTTAGCAGTCCCTCCTCCCATCTGTGAATTATCCTACCAAAAGATTAATGTGACCATATCATAATTCTGCTTAAAATCCTTTAAAGGCTTCCCACCCATTGCTTATGGGACAAAGTCCAGTCTCCACAACAAAGCATTCAAGGAAATCCCCTTGGGATCTAAGCTGAGCCTATTCCCTAGCTTGTCTCTCCCCATCTGACTCCATTTTCCACCCAGAAGCATTGCACTCTCCTATACTTCCCAGAAACACCCTTCTTTTCATCCTGATGTGGAACCCCTGCTCAGGCCAAAAGATAAAGCTTGGTTTCTTCACTTCTGTGAAGCCTGTCCAACTCTACAAAACTATCTGCACCATTTTTATTTTCCCATAAATACTTCCTATAGAATGCTTTCATCTTAAGTGACAGAACTCAATTTAAACTATTTTAATTTTTTAAAAGATTTTTCTATTTATTTATTTGAGAGACAGAGTAATAGAGAGAGAGAGAAATAGAAAAGTCTTCCCTCTGCTGGTTCATTCCCCAGATGGCCACAACAGCCAGAGCTGGGCTGATCCGAAGCCAGGAACCAGGAGCATCTTCCAGGTCTCCCATGAAGGTGCAAAGGCCCAAGCACTTGGGCCATTCTCTACTGCTTTCCTAGGCCACCAACAAAGAGCTGGATCAGAAGAGGAACAGCCAGGACACAATCCAGCACCCTTATGGGATTCCAGCACTTCAGGCAGAGGCTTAGCCTACTACTAGCCACAGTGCCGACCCCTAATTTAAATTAATTTAGAGAAGAGGATCTCTATTAGGTTGCACAGTCTTGGCAAGGATGGAGTGGGGAGCAGGCGACAGTGGTGACGCCATCCATGGAGCGGAACATTACTGGGACTCTTCATCTCCTCTACTTAGTTCTCTGCCTGTGGCTATAATTTTCTTTTACTATGAGTGGACCTCCTTGTAGCCAAGAGCTGGAAATCTGGTGGTTGCAGGCTTCCATCCCTTAGAGTATGGAATGGGAGAGAAAAAAGACGCTTTATTTACTAGCTTCAGTCCAGGGAAGACTGGCCAACGTCAGGTCATGTGCCAAGTGTGATACAAATGACAGTGGGAAAAGTGCAGTACTAGGATCCGCCCAGGTCAGTTACCTGGCTGTTGGGGCACTCTCCCCAGGAAGACAGGGCAGGCATGGCTTGAAAGGGAAATACTGCAGAGGGAACACCCTAGCTACCAAACGCTTCTCAAGTTACTACGTAATGACTTGTGGCTATTTCTAGGATGGAAACATCTAACTCATCTCAGAGCCTGGTACATAATAGGTACTCAATAAATATCTGTTGAACAAGTGCAGTGAACCATAATAGAGGTCAATCTGGTCTAAAGGCCAGGTGTGTAGCTTTTAAATAGAAATGAATAACGCTATAAAATTTATTGGAAGTTTTTCCCTGTTGTTAGCAAAATACCTTCTAGAAAAATATATATAAATATGTACCCTTCTGCTAAACAGAAATAAGGAGCCTGGAAGCCTAAGCTGGGAGAGAGGAAGCGGGGATGATCCAAGGTTTGCACGTGAAGAAACTAAGGATCTTGCATTATGGTGTAATTTCAGGAGGAAATTGTTGAACTCCAGCATTTTATCTTGAGATTTCAACTCTGATAGCTGACTTTCTTGTTTTGGATCCATGAGTTTGATATTTAAATAGAGGTCAGCAATGATCATGAATGTTCGATTTTTCTAGATGAGATCTAGACATGAAATGTGACCAGTTCTGTCAATGGTTCTTGTGTTCCCGCCCAAGTCCCAGGCCAGGACTAACTGACAGCCTGCAGGGGCTTTGGGGCAAGTCTCGTAGACTGTTCCCAGCCCAGTGTCATTACCTAGGGAGCGATCTTAGTATTGAGAGGGCAAAGACATTGGCTTTAAGGAAATGTCAAGAGTTTTGTGACACATATGAAAGAGCAAGCCCACCAATCCGTGAAGAAAAGCTTATACAACTGTTCCTTTGACAAACATTCACTGGGCGTCTTCTCAGCACCGGGCTCTGCTGGGTGCTCAGCATACGGTGATGAATAGGACAGTCTCCACCCACAAGGAGTAGCTCAGGGACCTCCTGGAGAGGCAGACACGTGAAAGGGGTGAGCAATGTGGAACCCACAAGCACTGTGGAGTGCCTCCCATAGGCTTGCCACAACATTGCATGCACTGCAGGGAGACAGAGGCATCCGTGCTCAACCGGAAACTGAAGAGCTCTACTTTAAAAAAAAAAAAAAAATTATTTATTTTACTTGAAAGAGTTACACAGAGAGAGGAGAGGCAGAGAGAGAGAGAGAGGTCTTCCATCCATTGGTTCACTCCCCAATTGCCTACAATGGCCAGAGTTGTGCCGATCCGAAGCCAGGAGCCAGGAGCTTCCTCCGGGTCTCCCACATGGGTGCAGGGGCCCAAGGACTTCGGCCACCTTCCACTGCTTTCCCAGGCCATAGCAGAGAACTGGATTGGAAGTGGGGCAGCCGAGTCTCGAACTGGCGTCCATATGAGATGCCGGCACTTCAGGTGGAGGCTTTACCCGCTCCGCCCCAGAGATCTACTTCTTTAACCCATGGAGCTCTGGTTTCTTGAACGCTCCCTCACTGCCGTACTTGCTTAGCCCCTCATCTGCGGCAGCCAGAGAGTCAGGACTGGAGATGCTGACATGAACAAGCAACTGTCCCTGCCTTCTACTTCCTCGGTTTAGAAACAAAGACCAACATCTAATCAGATCAAGCAGTGCAGGGGAGTAAGCCATACAATAGGGTGGGAAGAGAATTCATCTTTTGGTTTCTGGATTATTGCCTTGGCTAGCAAGCTGGGTTTATTATTGCACACAATGGCACCCGCCATTAACTCTTACAGAAAACACTGGTTGGCTTCCATAATTAATTAATATCTTAATTGAGCCACATCTTCCCTCCCTATACTACCATTTTCCCGTTTATAAAGTAGTTAAAGCTGTTTATTTCCAAAACAATTTGTTGCCTTTTGCTATGATAAAAGCAGTATAAATACCATGTGTCTCCTTTTTAAAAACCCTAACTTTAAATTTTCCACTGATTAAAGCAGCAATGAGATTTGAGAGGAGGGGGAGGAGGTTTCAATAAATGAATTAAAAATATGTTGTGTATTTTTGTCACATAACACACAAAATTTGTAACCCAATCCTAAGGAAAAAATGCATCAGATTTCAAAATGGGAGAGTTCTGTTAGACTGAAAAATTAATTAACCATTTTTTGTGTGCGTGATAAATTTTCAAACCTTAGGAGCTCTTAGTTACAGGAAAAAGCAACTGTTCAAAAGCACCTTTTTGTTTGAAGAACATTCATAGATACTGGTCCCCAGAACGATGTTAGGAAAGCGAAGTGAGGACTGGGGATACTTTGCTGATGGAGGACAAAAGTTCCGGGCTTTCTTACATAGTTAGCACCCAGCCCCCAGAAGGCTGCGTGGGCCCGATCACAGTGTCCATTGTTTGTAGCTGTCCACCCCATCACCACTGGCACCAGCTGTCATCTCTGGAGAGCCACTCCAGGCTACTCTTCCGCTGGAAAGAGCCAAGGTGTCCCAGAGCTGAGGACCAGAAAGTTCTTGGCCACCTCCCCAAGCAAACTCCCAAGTGAGGAGGCAGACCGTAAGCCTTTGAGACCTAGGAGGCAAACTGAACTGGGGCGGCTTGCCCTTCTCTTTTTAACATCTGCAAAATCATTCCAAAAATCACAGTAAAACACAATGTGGTTACCCTATTCTTTGAAAATAGTGTCTTAGTATGATGAAAAAAAAAAAAAAGCCAGCAGCCTATTGCAGTCATGTGGGTGGAGTGTCTGGCCAACTGCAATTAGAGCTCTCTGCTGCCTTTGGGAAGGGGAAAGACCCATGGAGGCCACTGCATCATAGACACCTGCAACAGAGAACATCCACACTCCTGCATTGTGTCCTGGGGCTTTTGTCATTTTCTCTGTTCCTCTGCACGGCGCTGCTTAGTGTGAGCTTGGTACGGAGAGCCGGGCCTCCTTGGAACGTAAGGCGCTAGGAAGTTCTAAGCCGTTTTTCTCTTTGTATGTAGGAAATTAGGCTCATTTTGGAATCTACAGATCAGGCCCAGTCTCTTTCATAGCCTTTTATTTTTAAGAAGATTTATTTAATTATTTGAAAGGCAGAGTCTCACACACACACACACACACACACACACAGAGAGAGAGAGAAAGAGAGAGAGAGAGGTACTCCATCCACTGGTTCACTCCCAAGATGGCCATAACCCAAAGGCTGGAGCTGCGCCGATCTGAAGCCAGGAGCTTCTTCCAGGTCTCCCACCAGGGTGCAAGGATCCAAGGACTTGGGCCATCTTCTACTGCTTTTCCAGGCCATAGCAGAGAGCTGGATTGGAAGTGGAGCTGCTGGAACTCAAACCAGCGCCCATATGAGATGCCGGCACTGCAGATGGTGGCTTTACCCACTACGCCACAGCAGCAGCCCCTCATAGGGTTGTTTTTTGTTTGGTTGGGTTTGTTTTGTTTTGTTTTGTTTTGTTTGACAGGCAGAGTGGACAGTGAGAGAGAGAGACAGAGAGAAAGGTCTTCCTTTTGCTGTTGGTTCACCCTCCAATGGCCGCCGCGGCCGGAGCGCTGCACTGATCCGAAGGCAAGAGCCAGGTGCTTCTCCTGGTCTCCCATGCGGGTGCAGGGCCCAAGCACTTGGGCCATCCTCCACTGCACTGCCGGGCCACAGCAGAGAGCTGGCCTGGAAGAGGGGCAACTGGGACAGAATCCAGCGCCCCAACCGGGACTAGAACCCGGTGTGCCGGCGCCACAAGGCGAAGGATTAGCCTAGTGAGACGTGGCGCCAGCCCCTCATAGGGTTTTAAAGAACAGTTTCCTGTTTTGAGTTTCCTTAAAGTTTCAAAGGTTCCACAGTAGGCAATACACATTTGGGACAGTCTATCCACTTTAAAATGTTTTAAATGTGCCTGCCTGGTACCTATCAGCTGTACCATGTCTGCTTCTGGGAAGGAGCTGAGGGTGTTAATAGTAAAGCCCCATTATAAAAAGAATGAGAAATTAGGAGTGTATTGACGGCAAGAGAGAGACAGGGAGTTGTGGCAAGCACTTAAGATAAGGGTTTTTCTTTTATCAGAATGCTTGGCACTCAGCTTTCTTAACAAAAAAGGAAACATAACAGAGCTTGGAAAAAGGCACTTTTTTTCTTTGCTACATTCTAAAATCATTTCCTCCACTTGGCTGAGTGGGAAAGAAAGGCTTACATGTCAGGGTTATAACAACTTTGTGTGCATTGATCCATCGGAATAGTGAATATTAGTCCAAATCGATGTTTTGGAAGCAAAACAAACGAGCAGACAGACCATGGGGAGCATTTCTCTGCATGAAGACACGTGCGCTTGGCATTGAGAAATGTAAGGTTCACAGTCAAGATTAGGAATTCACTGTGAGGTGCTTTTATTGAATTAACCATTTGATACCAAACCCCTACCAGCTAGGAACATCCACGTGCTATTGCTATTCTTATCCCCAGTGCTACCAGTGGTTGAAGGAAAGAATTGTGAGTGAAGAAGGCAGAAAACAGCAAAACAAGCTGAAAGACCTGTCCCCGATCGCCGAGCGCCTGGGCTGCACACTACCTCAGCTTGCCGTCGGTAAGCAAAGGACGGAGGGGGAGGGGAAACTCCTGCTGAGGCCACAGAAAATGTGCTTTTCTGTTGTGGATCCACACCGTTCTCATGAAATGTCCACGGGAGGAGAATGAACTCCTGGTAAATACTATGGAACGTGGAATATACGGCCCCGGGGAATTTGCTACAAACCGAATCCCTGTTTTCACTGCTTCACCCTTCGAACTGGTAAATGAGAACTTGTCGGTGCAAACATACACAGCCTCCTGAGTGTCCATTTCTATTCTGTTGAGGCTGAGCCAAGGCTGGTGAGAGGCAGCAACAGAGGCCCAAGGCTCCTGCCGTCTCGAATGGCCATCCTTGAGGAGTAGCTTTACCCAGAAATGTCTTGTGGACCATGAAAATTGCTCTTCTAAAGCTGTGGAATTCATAAAAAGGTCATGGTCAGTGGGAACAATTGAAAACCACACACCACCAATGGTCTCATATTTCACTTTAACATTTCTGGCGGCCATTTTTTAAAAAAGTAAAAAGAAAATACGTAAAATTAATTTTAATAATGAATTTTATTTAATCCAATATAGACAAATATTATTATTTCAAAACATAATAAATATAAAAATGTGTTGAAATAGCTTATGCTTTTTTTCCTACTAAGTCGTTGAAATTCAGGATGCATTTTATACCTACAGCATATCTCAGTTCAGGCTAGACACATCTCACGTTCCCAGTGGCTCCACAGTGGACAGAAAAGCATCTAAACTTTGAGTTCCCGTGCTGGGGGCTGTGTGCCAGGATCATGCTCACTGTCTTCGTCTCCTTGATCAGCAGAACAGTCCTATGTGGTGTATACTGTTAGTAGCCCTACTTTACAGATGCTAACGGTGGCTGTGCTATTAGTATCTCCACCTTACAAATGAAGAAACTGAAGATAAAAGAACTGACACACTGTGAGAAAGGAATCAAATGGATGTCCACTCTAAAAAACAAATGGGTTTTATAAGAATTAATAAATTTCAGGAATTGGGACAAGTCAGAGGGCTTCAAAAAAGTTCATGGGAAATGGTATTAAGAGATGAGTTTATTTTGTGCACCACAATTTTGAAATCCATGCATAGTTTTTTTTTCCATGTTATACATTTTCCATGAACTTGGCCAAGACTACTTATACAGTGACCCATGAGATAGAAAGCTCAAGATAAGATCTATACAAACAAAATAATTAAATAAAATCTTTGTTGGTAGCTTGGTATTTCTGAGGTTGAAATCAGGAAAATGTCAGTTGCAGATGACAGTCATAAAAGATGGAAAAGAGGTGGTTTGAGAGGTGGGAATGCCACAGACCTGCGTAAAAGACTGTTGCTTAAATCCTTTCTTTAAAAATAAAAAGTCAGAGTATAGTTAATGTGATTAGTTGGCATCCTATGACTTTAACAAGGACAGTAAAAACATTAGCTAGTTGACCACCGGTAAGTTACTAGAATCGGTTTTCTTGTATGTGAAGTAGGTATAACACAAACTTGCTGAGTAAAGGGAAATTTGAAAATGTGTAAAGCAAAGAAGAGGTGCTCAGGAAGCGGTCATGTGGGTTATGTTTTTGCAAAGATTAGACACCCCGGAGCTGAAGTTCTGTGCACCCTCCCAGGGCATGTAGTCAGAGTAATATGCAGACAGAGCAGCACATCCTGCACAGCCGTAAACTTCAGGTGGTAATATGACCATGAGTGTACTCAGCCTCCATATCCTGTATTCCACACCCATGGATTCAACCAACCTCGCATCCAAAAAATTGCATCTGTCTGAACGCCATTATTCCCTAAACAAAACAGCTCTTTGCATCACACATACGAAGTATAGATCATATACTAAGTAATCTACAGATGATTTAAGGAATAAGGGACGATGTGCATAGGACGTGTGTGTATACAAACATGATGTCATTTTATAAAAGGGACTTGAGCACCTGAAAGCTTGGTATCCACAGGGGGTCCTGGACAATCTCCCCGGATACCCAAGGACGAGGTATTCACCCAGCTCTGAAGGCGATGGAGGAACAGTGTCCTTCTGCAGGGAAAACTTTACAAATGTAGGCTTTCACTGGATGTTAGATATACACGGAACACCTTCTTTACAGTATCTGAGATTAAATTAAAACGCGTTTTCCCCCCTCCTTTCCCTCCCTCAAACCCCCAGATGTCCTTCCTGTCATTCTTTTTTCTTTCTTTATAAACAAGCAATTTTTTTTTCTAACCACAGAACCCTCGGAACCAAAAGGGACATGATTTCTAGTCATCTTACCTCTGATCTGCTCGGAGGGTGTGGAGGAGGGGAGGTCCTGGGGCAGGAAACAACTGCTTGAACCTAACCATGCCGGCTCCCCAAGTCGCACACCTGCAGAAACACAGGCTGCCGGTGTGCTTGCTGGTTAACACTCAGCTGGGCAGGCCGATTATCCAGCGGAGCTGCAGGTGTTAACCGTGCACTTGGCCAGCTCTGCCCAGTGGGTTTTCCTGTGCCAGGCAACAACCTGTCGGGGCAGCCAGTGGCTGCTGACACCATGTAGTTTATGGGCAATGATTTGTTTGCCTTCAGAATTCCACTAGGGCCAAGACAAGCGCTAAGTGTAAAGAGGAACTAGCACAGCCCCACAAAAAGAGGCCTACCTCACTTGGCTTGGAACCTTTATGGAACACTATTTTGCCTACTTGGGAAGAGTCAGTGATTGCCATGAAAGGCCTGGGCTTGGCAACGTCGTCAAAGTTGACAGCAGGACCTTAAGCAAACGAGGGCAGGAAGGGTGTTTGGGGACATCCATCAATCAACCATGCCTGTGTGGATTCAACCAACTTGCAATAAATTGCCTACCGTGTGCCAGGCACTGGGCTTATCGCTGAGCATCTAACCAGAGAGACACACCTTGCAGCCTGGTGGGCAAGTCAAGAACACAAACAGATCATTCTAATACAGTGCTGGGGTACAGAGAAGGACATGGGTGGGGTGGCATGCGCTAGAGAATTAAGGAGTCTGCGCACCCACGCCAGGTTGGGATTCGGAGTAGGACTTCAGGAGACTGTAATACCCTTGGGGAATCTCAATGAGTAGATATTAGTGGGGCAAAGGGAGAGAGGGGCAAAAGGACTCGAGGCAAAGAGGACACCTTCAGGGGGAAGCAAGGAGAGGCCAGGGAAGGACAGGAGAAGGAGGGAACCAGCCTGGTGTTTAGGGACGGGGGATTTACAGACAGCTGAGTGCTCCTGAAACACAAAGTTCAGGATAGGGAGACACGAAGCTGGACGGCGGGGCTAGAAAGCAAGGTTTGTCAGGGCGATCAGCAAGTTTCGTCTTCAAGGAAGGACAGTGATTCTATCAAACACACGCTCAAGAAGTCTTAGCCCAGGGAAGTGGCATGGACTGCTATTAGAGAAACTGCCGCTGGATGTAGGAAAGCTGTGAGGAGGGAGGGGAGGGTAATCCCAGCACAAGGCAGGAGCATCGGTCACGCAGGAGAGCTAAGAGGGCCTGAATATAGCCACTAGCTTCAGGGAGAGAGAGCGGTTGAACCACAGCACCCTGTACCCACACAACGCAATACTATCCAGCAACAAGAAGAAATGCTAGACTCACACGTGCTGCATCGTGGAGGAACCTAGACACACACACGCTGAGTGAATGAAGCCAGCCACCACAGCCCGTGGGCTGCATGACTCCACTTCGATGAAACAACAGACACACCTACAGACCGAGTCAAAGCTTAGTGCTTGCCTGGGGCTGGAGACAGGCCCATGGATAACTGCACAGAGGCACGAGGGGCCTCACTGCGGGGATGGAAATACTCTTAATACTGGACGGAAAATCGTGGAGAGTGCACACTAAAAATGGTAAATTGGCTGAAAATTATTTAAGGTACATTCAAAATGCACACGTTTGGTGTGCAAACTCCAACTTAATGAGGTGGTTCAAAAAAAAAAAAAAAGGTATGGCTGCCAAATCAGCATCAGGATCACACAGGAGCTTTTTTGGAAAAATACTTAAACACTTATTTGAAAGGCAGAGTTATAGAGAAAGAGACCCTCCATCCGCTAGTTGACTCCCCAAATGACCACAACTGGGGCTGGGCCAGGCCAAGCCAGGAGCCTCTTCTAGGTCTCCCACATGGGTGCAGGGGCCCAAAGATTTGAGCCACTTTCTGCTGCTTTTCCAGGCATATTAGCAGGGAGCTGGTTCTGAAGTGGAGCAGCCAGGATTCGAACCAGCACCCATATGGGATGGCGGTGCTGTAGGCCACGGCTTAGCCCCCTGAGCCACAATGCCCGCTCCACACTGGAGCTTCTTAGAGATGCACATGGCTGGTCCAGACCTCCTGAATCAGAGACTCTGGGGACAGGGTGTGACGTCTCATGGGCCCTCCAGAAGACTGAGGCCTGTTACGGTTTGAGAAATACTCAGGAACGATTAGCAACTAGATTTACCAATAAAAGGGGAGAGTGGAGTGAGAAAGGGGCAGTGACGCAGGATTACTCCCAGGTTTCCAGATTGGGAGGCCAAGTTGCTGCTGACACCACCCAATGAGGTGCGGAATGCAAGAGGGCCAGGCTTAGCAGCAAGTGACAACAAGTCTGTGGCACCTGTGCGTCACCTAGCAGTGGGGTCAGGCAGACACACATCTCAATCTGTAGCAACATCTAGTTCTGGCAGCTAAGGACTGACACGTCCATTACAGCCACGGAAGCCACAGTGAGGGAACAGGGATGTGAGGGAGAGGAACATAGGAGTCTAAACTGACCTGTTAGAAACTGAAATGGGAAAGGCTGGGGCAGTCTCTAAGCAGGTGTCAAGGGTCAGAGGAATCGGATTTTAGAATGGGTGAAATTTGACAGGCATGGAAAGCCATGACACGGTGGCAAAAAACAATCTAAATGAAAGATCCTGGTGAACAAGACCCCAGCAGAAGGAACAGACCATCAAGGAGAGAGGCGCCTTTCTCTGAAGGGAGGAAGGAACCTCCACTGTGATACAGCCTTGACTAAACAAATTCAGAGTCGGTGAACTCAAGGGGCTTCCATAGCCTAGACAGCTCATAGCAAGAGTCTCGGGTGATTGCTGACATCATAAATAAGAGTGCCAATTGTTAAATCAACAACGGGAGTCACTGGGTTCATGCTCCCCACGCAGGATCTCTGTCCTTAATATGTTTAACTATGCAACTCAAAAACAACACTACTAGTCGTATACCTGGTTCGGTTGTGTGAGTGCAACCTGTTGAAATCCCTGCTTAGTATATACTAAGTTGATCTTCAGTATATGAAGGTAATTGAAAATGAAACATGATGAAGGGCAGGATGGGAGAGGGAGTGGTTGAGGGGAGGGCCACGGGAGGGAGGGAGGTTGGGGGGGAAGCCACAACAACACAAAAGATGCATTTTATATTCTACTTAAAACTATTGGTTGAACTCTGTAATTAATACACAATTACTCTTAGGTGTTTAATTAATGCTATAACTAGTACTCAAATAGTATTTTACACTTTGTGTTTCTGTGTGGCAGCAAAATGTGGAGATCTTTACTTAACATACACTAAATTGATCTTCTGTATATAAAGATAATTGAAAATTAAAAAAAAAAGAATGGGTGAAATTTGAGCCGGTTTTGTTGACAGAGTGGAAGAAGATAGTAAGAAAACAATCCAGGAGTAGGGAGGAGGTTTTGAATGAGTCTGAAAGTAGGCAGAGCCAAGGATAGATTGTCCTTGGACGGGAACAGCACCCAGTCTCCTCTGGACAGGAGGATACGGATATGGACACACTGATAGAAGCAGGAAAGTGTGGAATTAAGGAATATCACACCTGATATTAATTCCTAACTTCCTACCTAAGGTAGCGGGGAAAGTCATCCGCAGGGACTGGTGGAGGGTTTAAGGGTAGAGATCGCAGGGTCATTTCAGAAACAGAAAAGGGAGATGCCCAAGGGCAGAAGGGTAGCCTGCACAGTGGCCCAGGCCCAGGAAGCATCAGACCCTGGTTCCATGTGCATCTCTCCCGCACACAGCACTGACGGTGACCTGCTGGAGCAGTAGAGCAAGGAGTGGGGGGTTGAGGGTTGATGAGAGAGTCATTTAGATCATCAACCCGGAGGCCCAGTGAGAGCTGTCAGGAAGCTGGCCACGATGAACCAGATACCCAGAGACCACGTGAGGAAAATGACCCGTGAAGAAGGTGGAAAGACAGCAGACTGTGGGCCTGGGTGGAAGCCAGAATCCAGGCATCTTGCACGTGAGCAGTGTTTAGTGTTTTGAGGAACAAGAATGCAGCCAGACTGAATGCCCCACGGTTGAGACAAGGTACTGTAGGAAAACAGCCCTGGCCCACCATTCCAATGCAGAGTCTGTCCAACCTTCTACACATCAGGGGCTGCTGCCCAGGCTTTGACTCCTGGAGAGCACTGTGTATCCTCCACCAAAAAAAAAAAAAAAAGCCAAGGATAGGTTTGGGCTGCAGCAAACATAGCCGTAGCTGGTGTTTACAAGCTCATCCACAATCCAAAGTGCGTTGACCCTGACCCAGTGTCCTGTCTTTACAGCCTGGTGCCTGAGAAACGAGGGTGTGAGCTCCGTGCTCCTGGGATCATCCACTCCAGAACAACTCATTGAAAACCTCGGTGCCATTCAGGCAAGTCCAAAAGCCCTTTCCAGCAGACTCCGGGGAACCACACGGGGACGCCCTGTCTCTCCCACCACGGTCCTGCAGGGTTGGAGACAGAGGGAGCCCAGGCATAAGGAGCAACAGAACAGGCTCACAGGACCCATGCAGGGCTGTGCTCTGCCTAACAGGCAATGTTCCCAAAGCACATTTCCGAGCTCGGTTTGTGTCTGTGGGACAGTGTATTCCGGTAACACACCTGGCACTGACTTCACAGGCCTGACCGCAAAAGCCGGCTTAGTGACCTGCTTGCAATGTCACTGCGGGGGGACAATGTACACATATTGTTCTTCCATGTATTCCTCCCACCAGTATCAACTGCCAACCTCTGTGTGCCAAGCACCTCCTTTCTGCTCTTAAAGCATCCTGTACGAGGGCACCTCGAAAACAGTTCATAGAAAAACTGAATGAAAGACAGGCTTATTCTGGGGTAACAACATTTTAAAGCCATGCATACAAGGAGTCTTTATGGAAAATGTTATGACAAAGAAACTATGCATGGATTTCACTTCTTTTGCATCGAATCAATTTCACTTCTCCATGAAGTTTTTGAAGCACCCTCCTCTTTCCTCTGCCCACTGTACCATGTATGATCACGTAGTGTGACTGCCTGACTCCCCCGGGGGATCGTAAGCCCCCTGAGATCAGAGGCCTGCGTCTTTCTTGCCTTTCCACTGGCTTTCTGGTTTGCCCTTAGTTAAGACTCAAGAACTGTCTGTTTTGGGAATTCGCCGTGTTTTAAGAGCTATTGGCTCAAAATTCTATTTCAGACATGTAGGCTCACCTCTCCCTAGAAGTCCAGGAGACCCATCCCTCTCCCTCTCAGTGGATGGCTGGGCACTGGAGCCTACAGCAGTACTTGGGGGCACCTGTTAGGGGCAGGAGGATGAGAAAGTGCAAGAAGGGGGCATTCCTGTCTAGGGAGATGGATGAGCGCTGGTGTCTATGATCAACCTCCTATCCCCAAATGCCACATCTCGGTACTGAGCCTGCCCACTCTCAGTCCCGCCAGACGAAGGCCCCGGGAACGAGCCCACCCACTGCTCTTGCCAGGGCGACTACCAGCTCAAATAGGCAAGGGTTTCCATTTCCCTCCTGCTCACCGGGGACCACAACTGTGGCACACCCTCTCCCCATCCACCTGACCTGGAAATAAGGAAACAGATGAAGGTGGAGACACACTTGATTAAGCTGAGAATGCTCGAAAATCCTTCTTAAAAATAACCCCCCACCACTGTCCGTGGGGAGCAGCAGCGGCATCCCCTCTGCCTCTCTGCTGCCAAGAACCCCGCCCCGCCCCACGGCTCTGCTCAGACCCGAGGCTCCCCTACACTCCCCTGCACGTGCACTGGGAATGCTTCCTTCCTCGTGTGAATGACGCCCCTCCCGTCTATCTTCACTGCAGCTCTGGGAAGATAGGGTTACACAAGCATGGTGAGAGGCTAGGAGCTGGCACAGAAGAACTGCAATTCAATCCATTGGTTTCAATTCCACACACATTTATGGAACACTGATTCTATGTCTGGCCCTGTGCTGGGCACTGGGAGGACCCCGAGGAGTAAGAACCACACCCTGCCTTCCCAGAGCTCATGAGCACTCAGAAAAGAGTGAACTGAGAAAGGCTTCCCTTACTTTATTCAGGTCTCTGAGAGCCTACTATGATTCGCCAGGCACTGGGGATATCATAGGTCACAGATACTGTCCAACCTTCAAGGGGCTTACATTCCAACAGGAGACATTGATAAAGATAAACCTACAGGGCCGGCGCCGTGGCTCACTTGGCTAATCCTCCGCCTGCAGCGCCAGCATCCCAAATGGGCACCGGGTTCTAGTCCGGCTGCTCCTCTTCCAGTCCAGCTCTCTGCTGTGGAAGATAAACCTACGAAAGAATTTTAGATAGTAAAAAGGGCTACTGAGTAAATAAAGGGCTGTTTTACAAGAGACTAATTCAGAAATGGGTGGGCCTGCTTTAAACACCATCTTTGCAAAAGGTCCCTCTGGCATCAAGGAGTCTGGGGCAGTGCGTTTTCAACATGCCTTCCCATCTGTTCACATGCCTCCATTCACACGTGAAGAGCCCCAGCCCAGCCCAGGGGAGAGCATGGCAAAGACCCCAAGATGAGAAGGGCCTGGGCTTTTTCCAGGAAGAGCAACCTCAGGCCAGTGAGACCGACAGGTAGCAGATGCACTGGGGCGCACAGGCAGGCAGCAGCCAGGCACACGGGCCTCCAAGCTTATTCTCCAGCTAACAAACACTTTGGAGGGTTTTCAGAGGAGGGAAATTCTCCTACTACCTGCATTTTAAAGACTGAGCTGACTGCTGTGTGGAAAGAACGAAGGTCAAGGGCAGGCATCCAGGCGAGACATGGTGGTGGCCACAGCGGTGGGGAGAATGAGTGGATTTTGCAGTTTGGGAAAAGGACATCATGGACTGGCAGGAAGAGTGAGGAGTGGGGATTCCCATGGTGTGCACACAGGGTGCTCACTGCCTTCCAGGGAGAGGTCAGACTGCCTGCAGCTGGCAGGAAGCGGTACCTACCAGGCTGAGTTTAAAGGCTCCACATGCACACACCTAGCACCGAAGAGGCTGCATTTGACAAGCTGTGATTGGGCCCCTTCACCTGGGGGACAGGTGCCCAGCACTGGGGGGATTGGCTGCAGAAGGCTTGGACAGAGTGGAGTGCCAGCAATTGTCAGGAAAGGAAATCTCTAGTAAGCTGGAAGGCAGCTGCTCTAAGGGATGAAATGTGCCCAATGCGTACCAGAGTAGAAGGGATTGTAAGAGAAGAGAACCCACGGCTGCCTGCTGTCACCTTTTCTACCTAGGAGGACACAACTGCCGCTCCCTCCACCCGCCTCCTAGCCCTCCTGAGAGTTCTCCATCACCCACTCAAGCAAGGCCAGGTGCCCTAGCTGCCAGGCCCTTCCCATCCAGGCCACACGCTCCCCAGCTCCACCTCCCCAAAACCCAGTCCCCAGCTGCCAGGAACCACTCAGTCCCCCGATGTAGCAACGGTCCTCTGCCTGCACAGGGACCACCACCACAGCCCGGCAAAACCCTACTCCATCCTAAGACCAGGACAAGGACCCAATCCTGGGAGGCCTTCCCTGCTACCCTGGCAGCCCCAGCAGTGCTAGCCAGGCCTCCAGTCCCCACCAGCCATCCCAGCAGTGGAACACCAAGATTGCAAAACTCGTAGCCTGTGGGCTGTTCCTTAAATTTGTAGCTTAAAGTGTTTTAAAATAGCTTCAAACGTGTGTAAAAAGTCTGAGTGACTTCATCCGAAATTTTCAAAGTATGGCTTGCCTTCAAATGTTGGTCTTAAAATATTTCTTTTGCCTGTTTTATTCAAATACTTTTATGGTTGTACTTTTTCTGGTGTTTAAATCTCTTCTGACCTTTTTTTATTTTGATGTAATGAATGAAAAATTTTTCTCCTCACACGGCTAACCCATTGTATTTTAGACACAAAAATTCCAACAGACCCAGTTGCTGGATTTCAATCTCATCGTTAGTCTCACTTGAACCCATCTCCTCTGGGACTCAACGGGAGTGGGAAGTCAAACTGTGCCTTTAGCTTCGGTTAGGAACACGTTACCCAGAACCAAGTTTCCCAGGCCGAGTAGCTCTACTCTTCTGCCAAGCCTCCAGGCTTCTGAGAATAGCACTTGAGTGGAGACAAGGTCACCTTGGCCAACGCGACTGCAGCAAAGCAAGGGGGAGGCTGCCATCTCGGAACTTGTCGTCATAATTGCATTCACCACGCTCTGTGCACGGGGTCAGACCATTCCGGAGAAAGTCTGCCTTTGGCCCCCGTCTTATGGTGTAATGGGTGCCCTTGGCCCACTTCTCACGGCAAATGCTGGTCCTGAATGAGCTCATCTTTTCCGAGGGCTTCAATTAGCAAGTGCTGCACAGGGCTCCCAAGTTTCCGGTCCAGTCCTCCTGCAACTGCGAAGCTCTGCAGCCGCCCTTCTGGCTGCCTGCAAGCCCTTTCCACACGGGTAGTCCACAGGCACCTGAAACTCCACACTGTACCTTACTACAAGCCTCCTTCCCCCCAACCACTTCTCCCACACACCAACATCCCGTTAGTCTCCATCTCGACACTACCAGCATCCTCCAAAATGCCCTTCAGCGCCCCTTTTTCTATGCCACCACCACGCCCAATCAAGGCATTACTGGCTCCAGCTCATATTAGATCATTTTTCTCACATCTGTGTCCCCTTTCCGCCTCTCCCAACTGGTTCTTTAAAGGACTTCCAGGTGTTAGGTCACTCCTAGATCAGAGGTTCCCCACTGTTCTGGGCTTTCCACGCTCTCACCCCATCTTCCCCCTGCCCTGTGCCTCGCATTCCCACACTCCTACCACTCTTTCCCTGCTTATCACTCCATTTCATTCCTTCACGCTATTCCCTTTGCGTGGGATGTCTGCTGAACCCTGGCCATTCTTCACCAAGGGTCTGACTATGCGTGGGAATAAACCGCCTTAGTTTCTAGACTTATGCTGTCTACGACCATAGCTTCTAGCCACAGGTGGCTCTCGAGAGCATGAAAGGAAGCTGGGGCCTGTCCGGATTGATAGGTGTAAAATGGTCATGGAATGTGCAAGACTGAGTTAAAAAAAAAAAAAAAAGTGTCAATTTTCTATACTGATTACATGTTGAAATGGTAAGATTTTGAATAGAATGGAGTAAAAACATGTATTAATTTTTTAAAGGTAAGCGCCAGAAAACTTAAAAATACATGAGTGATGTGACTTTTAAAGGTAGGCACCAGAAAATTTAAAAATACATGAGTGCTATGTGACTTGTATTACATTCCTACTGCACAGAATTGCTCTTTATTTCCATGAACCCTCACTTACTCCTTACACCTTCATTATTCAGTCAACAAATAAGGAGCTGACCTCAAGGAACCTCTGAGTCCTGTGGAGAGTTCATATTCCAGTGGCAGTTTACACTTAGTAATGATCACAGGAAACATGTGACCAACACTCCTAACCAGACCCCTTGTGCTCCTCCTGCTCTTAGGTTCTCCCGAAGATGACATCCCACGTGGTAAATGAGATCGATAACATATTGCGCAACAAGCCCTACAGCAAAAAGGACTATAGATCATAAGGCAATGCATGAGCCTCAGAAGCTGCATGGTTAATTAGTGGCCTGTAGCCAGTACAGAACCGTTTTACTAGCCAGTTTTTCGATCACTTAGCAGCCTACTGCTCAACCTCTAGCGTCCCCGGATTCTCTGAGGTGTCTGCTGTCACTACCACTGTGCACCTGAATTATGAGCACATCTGAAAATCCACAACCAAGAAATGCCATTCTATTTTCTTATCTCGGACTGGAGTCGCCGACCTTGCACCGCTCTGTATACCTGCTGCTTATGCAATGGCGCGAACGGGGAAAAGCTGATTACTTCAGGCGCTTGGTAGTTGAAAGGCGGCTGTACAGATCTATTTTTTCAAAGAACAAAATCCACAGATGCAGTATGAAGTGTGTAAGAAACAGTGGGATATCTTTACTCAGAAACAATTTTACACTTTTCCCATTTGCATTCACATTAGCAGGTTTTGTTTCACTTGTCTTTCAACAAAACCCAAATTTCTAGGTTATCTGCTTTCATTACCTTTGAAATATTTACTGTTGCTTGGTCCTGTACAATTTACCCAGGGTGTCTATTAGGATTCTAATAATGTTATGTCCTCCATTTATGTGTAGAGATGGTAAAAGAATGAATGCCCCTAATTTTAGAAACATTATGGCTAATTTATGAAAGGGAAGGTGTTACACTGCTGTGGAAACTTAGCTTCAAATAAAATGTAATGTATCTGCAATTAAGTGTTCATTTTTTACATTTTATTAAAACCCGCTTTATACTTTCAATTGCTTGTAGGCACAACTTCTGTAAGTTTAAATATTTGAGCTTTAAAAGTAATACACATGCTCAGTTTTGTAGATAAACCTGTAAAATAACCAGAGACAAAATGTTCACTGTTTAACTAGTACTGAGATTTTTCAATGTTTGGTAGTACTGAGAAGTCAGTATCATGGAAGTAAATCTTAGGCTTTTCTCAGAGTATGCTGGGTGAATTACCTTGCCCAGTGAAAAGCAAAATGTTCAAGAACGTCCTAATTCTATAACCACAGTATATGCATTACACCATATGCATGAAAGCTCTCTGCATGGATAAAAAGGGCTTGGCCCGCTGCACTTGGCATCTGAGGTATGTCTAGCCCTGCCACTGCTGGCTACTCTTACATATCCCACTTGAGAAAATACAAGACTATACTGGGGCGGCGGGTTATCTGTGAAAGAGAAAACATGGTTTTCTTTTTCAGGAAGAAGGGAAAGGTAGGAGTGAGGGCAGTTCTTTAATGCTATTTGGACATCTGCCTATGTATGAAATCCTAATTCATCTGGTCAACAGGTTCCCCATACAGAAATCACTTTGAAATTTACAAGAAAAATTATCTTAAAATCCTATTTTCTGTCATCATTTCTAGAGGTGTATTTCATGGTTAAGTTTTAATCCTTAAAATGTTAGCTGGAGTTCTCACCAAACTTTCTTTTTGGTTACTACCATCTGTATGCTATTGGGGAGTTTATGGTTTTGCCTACAGGTAGCAGACTGATGGAAATGGACTTCTTCAGTTGTTCATTGTGTAGTCAACCCAGTGAACCACTCACTGTACATCTAAATGAGCTGAGGAGCTGTCGAATGGGAAATGCAATTTACTTGCTTAGAGTAATAAAAGCATTTTGTGCAATCTCATAATAGCTTTTATCTGATCTTTCATTATAAGGCAGAGATATGTGTTTCTTATATATATTGCATATTTATATATTATATATTTTTTATATTTTGGATAGTCATAAGATGGGTAGTTGTCCTCTAAATAAAATTTTTTTTATTTAGATGCAGGTAGCTAAGCAGCACTGAGTAACAGAAATTCAGGGGTCAAAAGTGCGGGGAGCAACTCGGACTAGACTAAGTTGCTGGAATTGGGACTTGTTCTATGCATCTGCTCTCCCACAATATGGCGCTGGGAGAGGAGGAAGCAGCTTCTACGCAGCTGCCTCTTGCCAACTTGAGTGATGACCTCCAGGAGCTGATCCTGCTCCTAATTGGAGGAGAGCAGCGTACTCGGCGTGTGGGCAGCCGAGTTGGGATTGGCGGAAGAGGACTATAAAGGAGGAGAGAGACAACATGCACGAGGAACATCTAAGAGGAACATCTATCTGAAGGAACACCTGAGCAGCCCCTGAGAGAGCCAGCCAGCGGTGTGCCGCTCCCCCGCGGAAGTGGGGAAAAGTGGCAGGGGGAACCGCCCTTCCACGGAGGTGGAAGGGACAGTAGCCAACCCGGGAAGAACCAGCAGCAAACCCGGGGAGGGCCGAGCAGACAAAAGAACAGCGCAGGGTCCTGTGTCGTTCCTCCACGAAGAGGGGGAGCGACAAAAAGCAAACTGAAGGGGCCAGCATAGTGGCACAGCAGATTAAACCGCTGCCTGCGATACCAGCATCCCATGTGAGCACTGGATCGAATCCTGGCTGCTCCACTTCAGGGGACACAGATGAGTTCCAAACTCCTGGCTTCAGCTTGGCCCAGCCCTGGCCATTGTGGCTACTTAGGGAGTGAACCAGTGGATGAAGATCTGTCTCTCCTTCTATCTCTCTCTGAATTTCAGAGAGTGAGCCAGAGAGAGATCAATTTTCCATCCACTGGTTCACTCCCCAGATGGCCATTAATAGCCAGAGGTAGGCCAAGCCAAAGCCAGGAGCCAGGAACTCCATCCAGGTCTCCTACTGCTGTTTTCCCAGGCCTGGATTGCAAGTGGAGCCACATGGACATGAACTGGCACCTATGTGGGATGCTGGTGTCTCACGCGGCAGTTTTACCTACTATAGAACATCGGCCCCAATTAAGTAAATTCTTAAAAAAAAAATAAAAGACAAATTACAATCTTAACCTTCTTCTCCCTTATTAATGGAGAACAGGAACAGCTATTTTCTCATCGGATTTTGGAACACTGTACACTAAGGTTAAAGCTTCTCAAATCCACTTAGAAGAACTTGCAATTCAAGACCAAATACAAGGATTGTGGGAATAGCCATTTTTTCAATATACAAATCATCTGCCACAGTAAATATACTAGATAACTAGAAATCCTGTGCATGGCTTCCCACTTTAAGAACTGTCACTCCACCACAAACAGAATGCCAAAGGCTATGAGGAAGACGTCAGAGTTTCAAGAAACCCATGTCACCTACAAAGTCACAGCTCTGAGAGCAAGGAGGAAAGTAGGCCTGGACAGATGAAAAGAACTTGCCCAAACTCTCACAGCTAGTTACCATTAGATTTTTTTCTTTCTTTCTTGCACTTTAAGTCTCTCTTGACCACTGTTATTTCTGTTTAAAGCTTTGAAATTTTATGTGAAAGTAACTGTCAGAAGTTTAAGAATAGGTGTGGGGCAGGTGTTGTGGTGCAGCAAGTGAAGCTGCCACTTTCTATGGCCACGTCAGAGTTCGAGGTTTGAGTCCTCGCACCTCTACTTCCAATCCAGCTTCCTGTCAATGCATCCTGGGAGAAAGTAGATGACGGTTCAATGGTTGGGCCTCTGCCACCATGTGGGAGCCTAGGAGCTGATCCCAGCTGCTGACTTCAGCCTAGCCCAGCCTTACCTGTTGCAGGCATCTGGAGAGTGAACAGAAGATGAAAGCTCTCAGTCTCTCCCTCTGTGTGGCTCTTTCACGTAGATGAAATAAACTTTTATATTTTAATTAAAAGGTATTAAATTTAAGAATCAGAGAAGAGGAAAAAGAGAAGAGATGCAATGAAAATTCACAAGGGCCAATGAGAAGTTAGTCTCTAACCATCTCCCTAAAAATCTAAACCCACCACTAAAAAGATCTTCTCAACCTTAAATCAATTCTCTGCTTGGGAGTCCAAGTAGGGAAGATAACCTCTTACAGACCAGATGTATCTGTCAACAAGTTTTCTCCACCCACATACTTACATGTGTATGTACCCTTCCTTAGCGATCTCCAGAAAACGGCAGGGACTGGCCCACTCCCTGGAAACAGGACAACCAGGGGTCAGGAAGGCACAGTGGCACGAACTGGCAGAGCCTGGACACTTGCTCTTTACTGTACTGCACTGTGTCTGTTATTCTTTGCAAACATCTGATCAACAATCACAAAAGTGGAGGGAAGTACAGTGATGGCCAATATGAAATAATAATAAAGATGTTGTGCTTATCCACAGGGTTCTCTTAAATTCTAGGAGAAATGAACATTTTTAAAAATCACAGTTTAAACAAATATATTAAGACCTTTCACAAGAATTTTGAGAATAAATTCAACCTCCATATTTCAGTTGTCTTCAAACCTTGGTTCAAATTATCCTTTTCAAGGTGCCATATACCAAACAAGACAATCAGTAAATTTCAATCCAAGATTTTTATTAAGTTCTTCATAAATGAGGAAACTAAAAGTAAGGAAATGAAACCTTTCTAGTATTTTAAGCTTCCACCTTGTGAGTTAAAAAATAAAAAAATTCCATCATTTTGAATTCCAATTGCAGCAGACTCTTTTACTTTACTGGTGCTGGGTCTGGAGCCCTTTTAGAGTAATTCTGCAGCACATTTCTATCTAAATCAGATTCTGCACATTACAAACCTGTGCCAGGCAGCTCTTTCAGATGAGGGGAGAGTTCTGGACGAAAGGTTTCTCAATGCCCAAGAGGTAAGTACCGGAGGAATAAATCTTTAACGAAAATCTATATGCTTTGGCACATTTATCTAAAAGTAGAAAGAAAACGCCAGAGAAGAATATCATGGGAAAATTTCAAGACAAAAAAATTTTGCTTCTTCTATTCAGTCACCTATACATTTTCTGAAGAGAAATTCCATTAACATCAGGTTGACACCCCTGTTTCACCACTCTCTCATTTACACTGCATACCAGGAATGGGTTTGTCTCCCTCTATACAGGCACTGCCATCTAGTGGCAAGCATTTCCCAGCAATTAAAACAGGTATCTGGGACCAAGTAGACTGACAAAGCAGCAAATGCATTTGGAACACAAACTCCTGGCCACCAAACTACTGACTGGTTTCTTAATCAACAGTAAAGAAAAGTTAAATCCCTCCAGCTCATCCAATGATGGCACTCAGAAAACAAGAACAGTAAAGAACTGTAGACCTCTAGACACAACGATGAAATATAATCCTCAATTGCAGACGATGACCTGGGTCACTAAGCAAATGTACTCCTGGTCCTGTCCTCCAGGTTCTAGGAAGCAGGCTACCAACATATCCAACAGTGCAAAACAGCGACTGAATTCCTGATGGATACCTTTTTATAAAGTCATAAATGAAACAGCTAATATCATTTATAACATTCATCTTACATCAAGAAGATTAGAAATAGATTTCCTTTGAGATACTGTCTGCAGGAAATTACTAGATACAGTCAAAAGCTAATAGCAATCAACATCATAGTATCAAAGAAGAACTTGCCCAACTTTTTAAAGTCTTGAAACACAGAAGAAATAGTTAACATCTGTAAAACAAAAACAAAAACAAAACAGCATGAGACTGCTCTCAGCTGGATCCCAGGGGCTGAGGAGATCATTTATTTCACTCACAATCCAGGGCACCCTGTGCACAGTCAGTGATGAAAGTCCTAATGGAAAAAGCTGACAAGCACTTTAACCACTGCAAATTCCTTGGGGAGTTCATAGAATTCCAGCCCTAAAATTTACTCTGGTCTTTTACATGTCAGTATTCAGCAAAGGAGGTTCTCTCTCAACATTCTTCCAGTGGCATGAGTGCCTGACCAGGGGAAACAATGAGCCCAATGTCTTAACACATCAAACCAACATGGCAGGTCAAACTGACCTCCCTGGCCACCCAGGGCCAAAGCCGTACAGCTGAGCAGTGTGCGCCTGAACCCCACAGGAGGACTCTCATATGCCTCAGCACTATTTTTAGGTTACTACCTTGGCTGCCTTTCTCCTTTAAAAGAAGGGAGGGGGAGGGGGCTTTTCCACAAGTTTTTCTTCCTCAAGTTTAGAAAAACCATGTTTTTAATTTTGAGTTATTTCAATCTGAAATTCAGAGACTTGTAAACACAAAGCTTCTGTTCAATCCCCTGGGAAGAGGATTCATTCTGATATTTATGGTTTTTAAAAAGTTGTAATATTGTGCTTGGAACACAGAGAGCCAGTTATTAACTTCTTGCTACTATTATAAATAATAACAGCCTAGTCCAGGTTACTGTGACCTCTGACAGAACAAGGAAACAAGTTATTTTCCCCTCTTGTGATTATAGCACATTGTGAGACACTTCTTGCCTTTTAATAAAGGTCCTGGTACTCTGAGGATCCCTTTCAATTCATTTAATTTCAACAACTGTCAAAAAGAGCCAATAAACAAATACTGAATTACATTCTGGAGAGTTTTTAAAATAAACCCTCCAACTGCAGACTATGAAAACATCTTGTGTGTCTCCCACCCTGACCACCCTGCTACTTTCCCATATACCACAGGCCACCCATAGATACGAAGCCAGGGGCTAAGCTGACATGGTCTACTTGGAGCCAGTAGACAGGAGGGCGATGAGTCCTGATGAAGCACTTATGGACAAAATGTAGTTCCTGTAAGAATTTCACGTTAAGGCGAAATTACGAATGCGAGATTAATTTGTCAACAAAATAAAAAGACCATTTCTCGGAACACACAGTTTCCTCCCAACCCTCAGTACAAGCACTGCCATGCAAATCCATTGTCTGCAAACCCAGTTTACAAGACAAGAGACCATAAGGAATGAAAAACATCCACAGGAAATGGGTTCCAATTTTAAAAAGAAAACTCTTAAGACAGAAACCTAGAACACATCTGAATGCCATTTAACCTTTCCAACGAGAGCTGATCAAAGAACATGGAAAAAGAGAGACTTGTTTTCCTTTCCCCCACAACAGCAAAGGAAAAATATGTCTCCCCTGTCAATCAGTGCTTTGCTGCAACCGGCTTGTAAAAGCAAGGAGGTTCTCAAAGTTCACAGCTATTCCCAGCCTAAAAACTGGACCATTTTCAGCAAACTTTTTCAGTGTTCACAGAAGATACAAATTTGGGGTGTCTGATATTTTATTACATCATAATCTCCAACTGTTACAAGTTTGGCTGCACATTCTGGGTGCATTCCTTTAAGGGTGTTACTTTAATAAGAGACAACTGAGTCTTGCCCAAAAGCTCAATTGAAAAGACACACTGTTAAGTACTATGAATTGTGCCTATTTAACTACACTGGCCACCCACCCAACCCCAAAGTCCAAAAATAACAGCAGGCACACAGCTTATGCCAGCAGTTATCAAAGAAGTCCAGTTTGCTTTAGTTCTTAGAACTTGTTTTCAATAAGCAGGTATACACAATCACGCAGTATAGGATGGTTTTGTAATGTTTGTTAAATATCATAAAGTCATAATCTATGAACTTAAAAGAATTTTAAATCAAACCAAAAGTTCTTTAAAATGCCTAGGAACTTGCCTAAAGTCAGTGCTATTCATTTAACTGACTCCCAGGAGAGCATTTCTTTCCACTAAAAGACCCAGACAAGTAGAAACCACAGGGAACTACTGCTTTCAGACTTCTAAAAACCATGATCAGCTTCATAAAGGATACACTGTGGGGTTGAAGTTCTTCAAAATAAAGAAGGAAGCAACAATGACCAAGACGAGGAATAGAGTGTTATTATAGAAGATGGAAAATGTTGTAGCTTCATAGTCAGCAACTTCATTCTTCTTCCATAAGATTCTGGGGACACAGAAGAAACAAGTTAAACAAGTTTATGATTTAAAACCTTTAAACACCATACAGCTCTAGTTTATCATAACACAAGTTTTCCCTGAAGTGTTCAAGAGGGAGAATGTGTTTTTAATATTAAATTTGGTGAGAATTGTCCCCTTTCTACCACTGAAAAAGATATTTCTTCCTCTTTATAGGTGCCAAAAAAAAAAAAAAAAAAAAGTACAGTTGCTGGCTATGTCACTATTTTTCCCAGGCTTCCAGGGCTCCAGAGGAAGGGACCGCTTAATTGCAATTGGCATGATTCCATTAGCAGCTAAACCAAGCATCTTTCTTGACGTCCTCACCTAACCGTTTACCCTGATAAATAGCCTAATGGAGCTTTTTGCCTGCATCCTGCTGGTTTGGAGGCTCTCTACAGTCTATGAATTTCAACCCTCAAGTTCACACCTTAAATAGACAATCCCAACATCAAAAACTAGCTGTGGTCTCACAGAAATAGACTATGATTGAGTCATCTTTATTTCATTCAAAGGGTCTGCTGGATCATCAGGAGGAACTTTTTAACTTCTGCAAAACCCTTTTACTTTGTATTGACTCTATTTTCCTTGCTATGATATTTTCTCTCATTAATTCACCAGTATGTCACCAGTCTTTTACCCCTTCACACAGAAAGGAGGAAAGTCCTGGGTGCCTGTGAATAAGGCAGCCTTTATTCCTCTTGGTTAATTAACTCTGTAAAGCACTTTTTAAAAGGGTAGGTTGTAACCCGTTAGTGGGATTTGAAGCCAACTGAATAGATCAAATGCCCAGAGAAATTAACTGAGTGGGTTGAGACTACTGGTCTTTAATTAATTTATTTATTAATTTATTTATTTTTAAGAACAGAAAACCATGGAGTACATCACACACAGTAATTACTGTTTTATGAAATATTTGTGTGTCTTAATCTCCTTTTTCCATGAAACTTTTGAAGCCCCTCATGTTTAGTCAGAAGGTAAAATTTTTTTTTAAAGATTTATTTATTTATTTGAAAGGCAGAGTTACAGAGAAATGAGAAAGGAGAGACAGTGAGAGAGATCTTCCATCTGCCAGTTCACTTCCCAAACAGCCACTACAGCCGGGGCTGGGCCAATTTCAACTTCTTCCAGGTCTCCCATGTGGAATCAGGAGCCCAAGGACTTGGGCCATCTTCTGCTGCTTTTCCCAGGCCATTAGCAGGGAACTGGATCAGAAGTGGAGCAGTCGGGACTCAAACTGGCGCCCATACGGGACGCTGGCACTGCAGGCGACAGCTTAACCCACTGCACCAGCACCACAGCACCAACCCTCTAAAATATGTTTTTACTGTGGGTTACTATCAAGAAATAAATAAAAATTAAAAACCACTGCTGTAGATACTTTGTCCTAAAACTTCTCTGGAGTCAGATATCTTGCCCCCACCATCTTAAGGACAGCCCACAAAGCTTTAAGCCAAAGTCAACTAGCTGGCTGTAAAGAGCTAAATGAAGGTTACTATCACCTTTTCCTCATCATAAGAAATCTATAGTCTCCAACATGAATGCTGTATTTCCTTGATTCAACCGACTTCATTTACATGAACACACCTTCAATGTACTCTAAGTACGGTAGAAGGGAAGCACGCTACATTAAGTGCAGTTATCAAGTATAAAACGTCTTCTAATTTAAAGTCTAAACATGAAATTCTAAATATACATGAGCATTACTGTTCTAACACTGTTAGAATATTCTAACACTGACCAAAGAAAATCAGCCCGGTAAGCCACATAGATCCAACAAAGCTTAGTGCTAGAAAACAGAACTGACTATTTCTGAGACTCTAGTACAGAGGCGGGGAAGCTTTCTTCTACCAAGGCCCATGTGGATATTTATAACATTATTTGTGGGCCATACAAAATTACCAACTTACAAGTTAGCATTTATTGCATATTAGCCTGCAGTTGCCTTGGCAGGACCAGACCAAATTATTTCATGGGTATTATGCAGCCCGCAGGCCAGACATTGCCCACCCTTGCTCTAGCACAAGACCCAAAGAAAACAGGTCCCGCAAGGAGGCTACCAGCATACCTCTACTCCAGATGATTAAATTCCCCTGCATCACAGTGCTTCTCCCTCCCTCTCCTTCTGTCATGCCCCAAATCAGAACCATCTCTTAAGACTTTGATTAAAGAAGTGACCCAGCCCTGTAGGCAATCCTAGTTCCCAAAATGACCACGTGTTGCATCAGTGAACACATGTCAGGACTGTCCAACAGCCTTGAGAAATTTCTTCTAGTCACCCATATTCTGGTTAGTCTGAAAAAAATTAAAACCCCTCAAAACCCTCATTGCCAATGCTTCTGGCAAACCTTCACTGGTAGAAAATCTAGTTTGGACAAGTACTGCCCAAGGAGTCATTTTCCCTACACCAAGAGAAAAGCTGAGACTGAAAGGCAACTGTTACACCCAGATAATGCCAACTGACAGATCAGCAATAAATCAAGAAGAAATAACCCTCACACCCTGGAACAAATGTTAATGAATCTCCGAATCTCCTCTGCTTATTCCCTTTCTAAAGCCCTCTCAAAGGGGCAAGGAGTACCTATTCCAAATGATTGCAGACAGGTCTGAAAGATACACATCTAGGCAAAGACGAGTTGATAAGCCCTCTCTTAGATCAAATCTCTTCAAAGAAATTCATCCTTTAAGAGAGAAACATACTAGATCTTAATGAGTCTCTGTTCCCAGTTACCACAATCAATCATGAACCTAGGTCTGGGTAAAACTGTATCCAGTGTGGCTTCTGTTGCAAAAATACTAACAGTACAGATTCCTACTGATGACAAGAGAAGAAACTGTAGTCTTTGGACACTTAGTACTTTATATATCCACAAAACTAGAACCTTGTCTTACTTTGAAATACCTAATCAGGCAAATGGAAAAGAGATTTCATTTCCAGTTATACTCTATAATCCATTAGTTATGACCACCTCCACATTGGACTGAGAAAGGTTCTGAGATATGTCCCAGCATCAAGAAAAGTGCCAAACCAAATCAGGCAGGTCTGCGGTGGGCAGAAGAGACCCATCTACCATCCCTGATGCAATTAATCACTCAAAATCCCAAAGAGCTGTAACAGGCACTTTGAAATTTGCATAACTGTGAAACACACTTGGCTTCAGAAACTCTGTTCTAATAAATGTATATAAATCAATAAAAAAGTTTTTAAAAAGGTGTTCTAGATCCTCTAGCCTCTATCGCTATACAAAATTTGCCATCACAAGCTGTCCCATTACAAAAATAGGCAGCCACACCTCACCATAACCGCTGCCTGCAAAAAGTCCCTCATTGTCATGATTTTAATATTATGCCTTCAGTTTTATAAAAGATCCACAGGAGAGAATCATGTCAATAATGTTTTGATGCCTTTCCAAAACCACTGTAGAAGAAATTGTTCATTAAGTTACTCAGTGTCCTTTAAATAAGAATTCACTTGATAAAGTCCTTCCAAGATTCGGTGCCAGGAAAGTTTCTTTTCAGAAGGACTTGCACACTGCTTCTCATCAGGCAGTGAAAGCTGTATGACCTCACATGCTTCCCACACACTTGGAGCTCAGGACTAAGTTTAGTGCTCAAATGCTGTGACTCAAAGTCCTTGTTCAAATACTTCTTTTTCCTTTTAAATGGTTTCTGATCTTTCAAAATTGTATTATTTTATTTTATATGCATCTTGATATTCCAAGTGCCCACAGTCTTTCTGGAACAAAGTGTGGTAAAAATTCCGTTCCACAAAGCACCTTGCTGATGCTAAAACTAAAGAAATGAAAACAGACTCATGACTCTCAGATGTTAAGGCTGTTTCATAAGTCTTCTCAGAAACAGCTGGCTTGAAAAACTGGGAGTGGAGGCTAACAAATGTGGCCCAGATCTGAGCAACAGGAGCCAAACCCAGGACTTCTTGTACCCCACCCACTGCACAGAACCAAGTAGTAGACACCCCCAGTAGAGCTCAGGAACAGAAATAACCACTACCTAGACACATGCTAACACACAGCACAGCATAAACCCTTCAAACCCAGAGGGATTAGGTGACATGTTCAAGGTCGCACAGCTATCAACAAGCTGAGCCAGCACTGGACAAAACTCCATAGCCTCCTATCTGTCCTACCTCCACTCTACCAACTGAGCTATCGAAGGCTGCACCATAGCCTCCTAAATTCCAGACCCATGATTATCGGCACAAGCCCACAAGTCAGACTGCCTATGTTCTTACTGTGGATCTACCATGTACTCATCTACAACTTCGGGCAAATAATCCAAGCTTTCTGTTCCTTAGTTTCCTCAGTGTAATGTAGAGATGTCAACAGCACCAAACTCATAAGAGTCTTTAGAAGAATAAATCAATTGCATGTAGCACAAAGAAAAATATCTGATGGCAATAAAACCTCAAAAAGGCAGCTGTTACTATTCCACTGCCTCTGCTGCTACTGCAATTCCAAAGTACACATTCTCCAACCAGAAACTATACGCTGGGGCTCCCCAAGTATTCCCCTTTTGATTACCACAGACGCTTTAAGTAAGGGGTCCAACCTTTCATCCTTCTCCTTCCGAGACATCTTTCTGTTGTCAGCTTCAGAAAGTTTTCGAGTCACTTCTTTGGAAACAGCATCCTCCCTCTTCTGTGCTACTCTGAAAAGGAGAAAAGAAAAACGTTTCCACATGCTCCAGGGACAAACAACGCACACTCTCAGAAACACTCTGCACTCACAGCAAGTATTGGCAACTGAATACTTCACGTTTCAAGAAAATAAACTGCACAGGAAGTTCCAAGTTTATTACACTGCACTAGCCAAAAAAGGAGTTGAAGAAACTTCCAAGATGTGCTTTGATTTCTGCTTAAAAGGGAAAATTTTCCTAAGATTAGGTATTTAATATGGATATAAAAGTCAAGTTCAGTTACAAATCACTATAACTATTTTCTTTTAACCTATAATTTAACTGTTTAACAAATTTCAGAAGGCATTAGCAAATGATATATGATTTCAATTCCAAGTAAATCCTAGGAGAGAAAAAAGGCTTAATAAACAAAGGAAAAGTAACAGCTGTTATCTCTTAAAGTTACACTTTTAAGGACAATTTCACTAAAAAGAAACAATATGACACAGTCAGACTGACTACATATCCCTTTTAAATTAACCTTTGATTTTTGAGAGTTGTATCAAAAGTTAACATGGAATCATCTGGAAAAGGTTGGAAACATTAACCAAAAAAAAAAAAAAACAATCTCCAGTGTTCACTCAGATGAAGGAAATATACCGAATGTCTATCTATCAAAAAAAAAATCTACAGATAAATGTTATCCGATGGGGCTGCAAGTGAAGGATGGTAAAATTTAAACTACGATGAAATAACTACGAAAGTCTCCTACAGAGCATGAAATTCAACACATCTTTCATAACCCAACAGCAACTAATCAGTTAGCCATACATACAGAAGAAAAAGTAATTGATCCTAAGCAAAATTTAACAGATTACCTACACAGTTCCACTAGAAAAGCATTCATCACAATCTCTCAACAGGAAACAGAGCAGACGCACAGAAACGCACTTGCTCTGTGTCCAGTAAGCTCCTCATTACTACACTATGTTCAGTTCTAGCGGGTGTACTGAGGAGAGTGTGAGAAATCAGGATGGATTCCAGAAAAGAAATGAAAAGATCATTCAAGACAGTGGTTTCCAATCTTCGTTCAACCACAAGATTTTGAGATATAAGTTAGGCCCAAACTGGGGCCGATTTTACCACGTCTCCATCTCTCAGGCAAGAATCAAGTTAGAATTGACACGGTTAAAAAGAAAACCTTCAGCTAGCACATTTTTCAAGACGTTCTACAAGGTTCTTTCTAACATGGTTACTCCACACAAATTGATAACTGGAGGGAGAAAAACAGATAAAGGAATTAAGTTCTAAAAACCTAAAGAAAAGGAAGCTAACAGTGAGGTTATCATCTTTTAAAAGACAGAGAAAGAACTCTCCCACGGGGGTGGCTGGTGGCAGGGACCCAACTACCTTGAGCCATTAACCTGCTGCCTCCCGCTGAGAGGAGCAGGGAACTGAACTGAGGCACTTCGATAGGGTATATGGACATCCCAAGCAACATCTTAACTGCTGCACCAAGTCCTCACTCTCAAGAGTTGTCTTTTTAAGCAATATTTAAAAGCAAAAAAGAGAATGATCTGTGTGTATGTATGTGTATGACTCTCTTCTGTAACCCTACCTTTGAAATGAACAAATTAAAAAAAAAAAAAAAAATTGGTGCCAGCATTGTGGGACAGCGAATTCAGCCACTGCCTACAATGCTGGCATATCCACTTTTTTTTTTTTTTTGACAGGCAGAGTGGACAGTGAGAGACAGAGAGACAGAGAGAAAGGTCTTCCTGTGCTGTTGGTTCACCCTCCAATGGCCGCCACGGCCAGCGTGCTGCGGCCGGCGCACCGCGCTGATCCAATGGCAGGAGCCTGGTCTCCCATGGGATGCAGGGCCCAAGTACTTGGGCCATCCTCCACTGCACTCCCAGGCCACAGCAGAGGGCTGGCCTGGAAGAGGGGCAACTGGGACAGAATCCAGTGCCCCGACCGGGCCTAGAACCCGGTGTGCCGGTGCCGCAAGGCGGAGGATTAGCCTAGTGAGCCGCAGCACCGGCCACATATCCACTTCTAATTCAGCTCCCTGATAATGGCCTGGGAAAGCAATGGAATATGGCCCAAGTGTTTGGGCCCGTCACTCACGTGGGAGACCCTGCCTGGCCCAGCCCTTAGCCAGTGCAGGCATTTGGGGAGCGAATCAGCAGATGGAAGATATCTGTCGCTCTCTCTTTAACTTTGCTTTTCAAATAAATAAATAAATCTTTAAAAATAAATAAATAAATACTTTGGGACCCACAACATACTTTTTACTCCACAGACTCGACTCAACTAGACTAACATTTTATCATGTAAAAATTGTCCAGGCACTTCTTTCATTCCGGAGACACTAGGCCAAGACTCTTCTCTCTGAACGTCTCTAGCAGAGACACTGAATAAGTTTCTGTAACTTAATATCAAACTACTTTTTTCTACAAAACACCCACAAAAAGGAATGTACATGGCTTACAGCAGTAACTTTTCTTAGCTTAATATAAAAAATAAATGCACACCTAAATTGTCAGGGCTCAGGAATAAATTATTTTCAAATGAGTTGGTTATCTCTAAGCATCAGTATGACAATCAAGTATCCTCATGACACACTGTCTTGAAGATACTAAGTAACTTCTCACCTAGGTCTAGATTTGCATTCTCACCTACTAGGGGCACAAACTCTACACTGCAGACTTACCACAGCTGAGGGAGAAGCCCTCACTCTTGCAGTGGGGCCAGCGTTGTGGAATAGCAGGTTAAGCCACTGCCTTCGATGCTAACATCCCATTTGGGTGCCGATTAAGTCCCAGCTGCTCCACTTCCAATCCAGCTCCCTGCTAATGTGCCTGGAAAAGCAGCAGAGGATGGCCCAAGTGCTTGGGTCCCTGCACCTACGTAGGAAACCTGGAAGCTCTGGGCTCCTGGTTTTGGCCTGGCTCAGCCCCAGCCACTGTAGTCATCTGAGGAGTGAACCAGCATATAGAAAAACCTCTCTGTCTCTCCCTTTAATTCTGCCTTCCAAATAAATAATTTTAAAAAAAATGCATCTTTGTAAACATTGCTTAAATCATGCCACCTTTAAAAAAAATTCTTACAGGCTTATTTACCTGCAACCTCTGTAAGCCTGCAAATAATTATTTATTACGAGGGGCCGGTTCTGTGGTGTAGCAGGTAAAGCCACCGCCTGCAATACTGGCATCCCATATGGGTGCCACTTTGAGTCCAGGGTGCTCTATTTCCAATCCAGCTCTCTACTATGGCATGGGAACGCAGCAGAAGATGGCTCAGGTGCTTGGGCCCCTATATCAGTGTGGGAGACCTAGAAGAAGCTCCAGGCTCCTGCCTTTGGATCAGTCCAGCTCCAGCTATTGCTGCCATTTGAGGAGTAAACCAGTGGATAGAAGACACACTGTGTGTGTGTGTGTGTGTGTGTGCGCATGCACATGAGCCTCTATAACCCCACCTTTCAAATAACTCTTTTAAAAACATATATGCCTAACGTGTCACACGTGACCATAGTTAATCCTCACCACCTTCTGCGGTATCATGCGATCCCATTTTGCAGTTCAGAAATCTGAAGCCTACACAGATAAAATGCATGCTTGAGGCCATACCATTAAGAGCAGCAGAGCTGGGACCAGAGTCCAGACTGCAAGCTCTGAAGTCAGCTTCCCTCAGCTACCCCCCCGCAGCCGCACTCCACAGCACACTGGGTCCTTAGCCTAAATCATCTCGCAGAGCTGTAGGAGTTGTGAAGTTGTAGTAATATTTTATATTAAGCCAAAACTACGACTAAAAACATTCCAGAGAGTCTATTAAGTCAGTGAGTCACTGAAATCTTACAGAACTAAATGTACCATTAGCTTTATAAAGGATATAAAACAGAAGATGGCAGTTGCTCTCAGGCAGCCGCAAGTAGAAATAGAAGGTAAAAAGAACATGACTTTGACTCCAAAGAGGTAATGAAAAATGATACATAGGACAAGTTGAAATGCCATGTCTCAAAGGGGCAGAGTTCCAGAGGGATCGTAAAGGGCCCTTCACACCTCTGAGGGCTTCCCTGTCAAAGGCAGCCACGTGCCATGGCAAAGAGAGTCCAGGGACCATCGCTGTGGCGCAGCAGGTTAACGCCCTGGCCTGAAGTGCCAGCATCCCATATGGGTACCGGTTCTAGTCCCGGCTGCTCCTCTTCCGATCCAGCTCTCTGCAGATGGCCTGGGAAAGCAGTGGAAGATGACCCAAGTCCTTGGGCTCCTGCACCTGCATGGGAGACCCAGAAGAAGCTCCTGGCTTCAGATTGGCGCAGCTCCAGCCATTGCAGCCATTTGGGGAGTGAACCATCGGATGGAAGACCTCTCCCTCCCTCCCTCTCTCTCTCTCTCTCTCTCTCTGCCTCTGCCTCTCCTCTCGCTGTATTTCTGACTTTCAAATAAATAAATAAATCTTAATTAATTAATTTTAAAAAGACAGTCCAGAAGGGCAGAGGCTGGACGGGCTGAACCCTGGAATGGCAGGCAGGAATGGAACAGCTGGCCGAAGGGCTGCCCCACAGAAGGATGACAGAGATGACCTGATGACTCTGCTGGTCCATCAGAAAGGCAGCCACGGGACATGAGCTCCTGTGTCCAGAACAACAGAAGGGAAAGCACTAAAGCTACCCGCAGCCACTGAGGCCGAATCCTTGTCAACTGAGATCATCTCAACGTGCTTTGCCCGTCACCAGGAAGAGCCCACCACGGAGATAACAAAGCAAAGCAATGCTTGAAGCCAGGAAGGAGCTCTCTGGCAAAGAATCCCAGACACTGAGGAACTGAAAAGAAGGTACCGGGGTGGGGGGGCCAGTCACACCAGAGGATGACACAAAGTGCTAAGGCTAAGGTGTAATCCTCAAAGAGGGGGCTGGAGGACTTGCATTCCAGGGACCTAGAGGAATCTGGTTCTAATACATTAGAAAGGGACACAATAAAAAATGACATCGGATAAGGAGAACGCATACTGTGCATCCCACGAAACAAGGAAAACTCCTGTACCTCAAATGAATGAGGATTACAGAGTAGTGTGGTTTATGCAGTGCAAGGCAGGGTGGCCCCTAAACTATCCCACCCACCACGTGATAGGAAGATAAGACAAAGCACTCCTCCACTGGTTCACTACCCAAATGCCTGCAAAATGGTAATCCATTACATTTTATATACTTATAAGAAAAATGTAATTAGCACTGAAACTGCAATTTAATCAAAAAAAATTTCACTTCCAAAAATAGTAAATGGAGAGTTCGGAACAAGTCTTTCCAGGAAGAATCCATTTGGCTTCTGCAATGTTCATTTACTCCATCAGTGTGTTTTCCTCATGAACCCTATGATGAAAGCTAGTGCTTTAACATTATAATTCTACCTCAATGCCTACACCCATAGCAGCGTCAAGTCTGATCATTGTCTCTGCTTCACTTCACTAACTCTTCCTTACAAAACACGCACCTCGGGGTCGGCTCTGTGACATGGCAGGTAAAGCCACCGCCTGTAGTGCCAGCGTCCCATATGGGTGCCAACTGGAGTCCCAGCTGCTCCACTTCCGATCCAGCTCTCTGCTATGGCCTGGGAAAGCAGTAAAAAAGATGCCCCAAGTCCTTGGACACCTGCACCCATGTAGGAGACCAGAAGAAGCGCCTGGCTCTTGCCTTCAGATTGGCACAGCTCTGGACAGTGCGGCCATCTGAGTGAACCAGTGGATGGAAGACCTCTCTTTCTCTCTCTGCCTCTCTGTAATTCTGCCTTTCAAATAAAATAAATAAATCTTGAATTAAAAAAAAATCATACACCTAAAATGAATACTTACTGAAATCAATGCATACACAAATGATCTGTAAGACATCCTACTACATAAAATGCAGTATGTAATAAATACTGTCTCTGGAAAAAATATACTTACTTGTGCTTGAGAACAAACTTCACATTCTTGTATGCAAAGGCTACCAAATAAGTGCTTATTAGGGTCATCACACTATACAGAACAGCAGACTGAATAAGATCCATATGCCATATTCGCCAATATAACCCTGAATTAAGATAAGAGGGGGGGTAACAAAAAGAAACATTACTCCCATTATGAAAGCCTCCTGAATTACGTTATGCTAAGCCTGGAAAAACGCAGTCAGACTTAGGGAATCCTACAGTATCTGAGGATCTTCAGAAGTGAGACATCCAGCAACAAACTCCAGCTTTCCCAATTCCAATCGCTTGAAAAACATAAACTTCCTATTCCTCGTCCAGATAAAATTTCAGCTTCTTTGAAAATCAGAACAAACTCTGGCTCAACAAAAATCATAAGACCGCCAATTGCATTCGAAGGGGCATTTATTTGTCTAAATTCAGGACATTCCAAAAAGCCACGTGCGGTCTCAAACCATCCATTCACTTGCTGACGTGGCTGTTATCTGAAATCAGGGCAATGCTTGGTTGCGCCAGGAAGCCACGGGGCTCCAGGCTACCGTCATGGCACGCTCAGTTTTAGAAGGCCGAAGAAGAAGATACATTTGCATTCGATTGCCCAAAAACAGGGCACGAGTGCGAGATGGGAAATGGAAACTCGGGAACTCTGAGCTCTAAAAATGACCCAGGCCGAGGCTGCAAACCGCTACTCATCCAAGTGAGAACTCTCTAATTGCTCTCACAGGATTACCAAAAGGTCTGACCAAGGCCAACCTGTCTTATTTTGCGAATCAGGAAAACGATGCTCGGCGGTGTGGAGCGGTGCTCGAAAGGACACACCTCGAAGTGACTTGCCAGGGTTACGCGATGGGTGTCTGGCCCACTCCGTGAGCCTCCCCAAAATAGGCAGCGCCCGCAGTGTGCCAAAGGGCAGCAGGCGATACGCTTGAGTGACGGCACCGTAAACCCCCGGCGGGCGTCTGTTTAAACGCAGACTCGGATCTGCCATCCCGGGACGCGTGAATCACAACCTCCAGGGGTGGGTCCCGCAACGGGCGCACTTCTCCAGAGCGCCGCGAGCGACTTCCCTGTGTTGCAGCACAACCACAGCCTCTTACGAGAACTCCGAGGCCCAGAGCCGCACGGCGCCAGGAAGAGCTCGGGCCTCACGGGTCCGCCGCGCCCTGCCACGTTCCCGCCCAGCCCGACCCACCGCGGCCTCCCCGGCCCGCCTCGCTCCAAGCACTCACAGATGGGGATGGCGGACACGATGAACGCGTTCCCGAAGAACAGCGCGGAGGACTTGGCCGACAGGTTGCGGCTGAAATCCTGCAGGAGCAGGTCCTCCTCGGACTGTTGCTTGGAGCCGCCTTTGGGAGCCATGGCGGAGCAGGAGCCGAGACCTGGGAAGGCCGAGCGGGACGGGAAACCGGGCCGAGGCCTCTGGCCCCGCCCCCGCGGCCGCCGTATCCGCTAGCGACCCGTCAGCGCCGCGCGTGGAGGCGGGACCCGGCGCGGCGCGGGGACAGTCTCCCCAGGATTGGTCGGCCTGCTGTCACTCCGTAGGCTTTCCTGCGTGATTGGGCGAGCGGGCCAGACTTCCGTAGGCCTGACCAGCCACGGGACGCGTCTAGCCGAAGAGAAGGAAGGGATTTGTAGTTTAATGTGTGCTTTTTAAAAAATGACAAAACTTTATTGGCATGCCACATCACGGCTATTGACAGACTTACACGATCCGAAGGTTCAGAAATCCCAAATAAAAGCTCTTCTGACCGGGTAGTACTCATTCATTCATTCAGCGTGCATATGTTTAATGTACTCTGTGTGCGCCCAGCACTGGGGGCATTGGAGGAGGAAAAAGGGATAGGTAGCACGTGTAGATCTCCTCCTTTACACCTCCGCTATTGCGTTAACTACCTTCATGAATCTTGGCTGCATATCGTTCACCCCATCGCAGATGGAGAGCTTACGGGTGGGTGACTGACAGCGCTGGTCTCCGAAGTGTGGCGTTATTTGCATCGAAATAACGGGCTACTTCTGAGGGAAAAAGAAAACAGCCCATTCGAATACACTTACAAATTCCTAGTATTTTATTACTGATTTTTTAAAGATCAATTTATTCATTTGAAAAGTCAAAGTTACACAGAGAGAAAAAGAGAGGCAGAGAGAGGTGTCTTCCATCCGCTGGTTCACTCCCCAGTTGGCTGCAACATCTAGAGCTGCGCAGATCCGAAGTCAGGAGCCAGAAGCTTCTTCTGGGTGTTCCCAAATGGGAACACTTATTATCCAGGCCAGGGAACACTGCTTTCCCAGGCCACAGCAGAGAGCTGGATCGTAGGTGAAGCAGCCAGGACCAAGCCGGCTCCCCTATGGGATGCTGGCAGTGCAGGCAGTGGCTTTAACCGCTCTGCCACAGTGTTGGCCCCTGTTACTGACCTTTTAACTAACCCTTTAGGGTTGCCAAGCTAAATAGAAAATAACACTAAGTAAAGACAACGTGGTGGCATGCCTATTAATACTGCCACTGCCATTTTTAACTCCTCGGATGATCACCTTTTATTCAGAAAAGAATACTCAGCCACATCAATCTCTGCCAATGGTTCTTTGCTTCACTGATAACACCCAAACATCCTGGCAAGTCAGGCAAAACTTGCTCAATCTCCACCTGCCCCGATCAGCAGGTTTGTAGATAACTTTCTCCTCACTTTTCCAAATCATAATCGATCTCCATGGCCTTCCTCCTAATTGAGCTTTTCGTCTTCAATCTTTTCCAGCTGATTCTCTGCAAAGTATCAAAGTGAGTTTTCCTGAAATATAAATCCTTTCCTTATTCTACCACGCTTAGGAAAAGTCTTCAAAAAGTTCACAGAGAGTACACATTATTTTTTAATTCATCTTCCCACGAACTTCTCAAGTAACTTTGTATTCCCAAAGTCCAGAAGTTTTCACCAATGAATGGCAAACGTTAAAAGTAAAAGTAGATCATCTAGTGAATATGTCAGAAAATATATTTATTTTAAGATATCTGGGTTTATGTCTTTTATTTTGTTAAAATGCTATTCTACTACATAATGATAATAGGAAAAAAAAAACTCTTCTTTCTCTTACAACACACTCCTCTTCCAGGGTTTCCTACCTTAGTAAGTTCCATCCTTTTTTTTTTTTTCCCATTTGCTGTAGTTCAAAAAGGATAGATTGCAATACCATTTTTTTTCCCTTCTCCATCTATGACCAACTCATAAATAGAACTTTCTGGGTCTGTTTCCTTCTGGCTACTTATGAATCAAGAATATAAAAAGAAGACAAAGGGTAAAAATCAGAAAACTACAAAAAGGGCAAAAATCATCAGTATATTTCAAAGGAAAGGAAGAGAATAAGACATAATAATGATGAGATTAAAAAAAATGTGAGAAGAAAATTTCATGGCTACAATAGGAAAGAAGCTTGAAATGTTGAGTAGATAAAAATGTTAAAATTGAAGTGCTCAAAAGAAGCTAGCTGATAAAACTTATACACTTTGGGGGTCGGCACCATGGCTCACTTGGTTAATCCTCCGCCTGAGGCACCGGCATCCCATATGGGCGCTGGGTTCTAGTCCCGGTTGCTCCTCTTCCAGTCCAGCTCTCTGCTGTGGCCCGGGAAGGCAGTGAAGGATGGCCCAGGTGCTTGGGCTCCTGCACCCGCATGGGAGACCAGGAGGAAGCACCTGGATCCTGGCTTCAGATCGGCATAGTTCCGGCCATGGTGGTCATTTGGGGGTGAACCAACGGAAGGAAGACCTTTCTCTCTCTCTCTCTCTCTCTCACTAACTCTGTCTGTCCAAAAAACAAGTATACACTTTGTAAAACTAAGGATTCTAGGTATAAACAGATTATAGTCTACATTAGAAAGAATTTTAAATCTTTTTCATAAGAGCAAATTAGAGAAATATGCTGGGCAATGACGAATATACTAAACAGTGGAGTAGCATTTTCTTGCACCCAAACTAACTACTTCCTTTTAAAGAGCACCAGGATCTAAGGTTATGGCGTATATAAGTCGAGCCATTACACTAGACAAGCAGGATAAACAACATGCTAAATAAGGAAGAAGAGTTAGGTAATTCTATCCGAGCAAACGGCTCAACTCTATGAAGAAACCAGATGGACTTGATTCTGCAGCAGCCTGATTCTAATTTGTGAATTTCAGTCTTAACATTTCTACTATATCATTTTATACTTATCAGATTAGGGAAAATAATTTTAGCAACAACATTTATTGCTCTCAGGGATATGGACAGCAGATTTTCCCCATCCATGGCTGTTGGCTTTGTGGAAGAAAGCCTGCCAAGGTCACAGTTAGTATACATTTCTGTGGCAGAAGCTGCAAGTTTCCCAGCCAACAAAAAAAGCAACTGCTAGCTTGTCACTGGGACCTTATGAAAAATAACAAATAGATCATCTAGGGAGGAAAAAAAAGAGAGAAGCTCCTTGATTTTAAAGTCCATTTGAAATGCAAATCTCATTATGGAAATTAAAGGAAGAGATAGAACACTTACATTAGTCTCTAGCTATAATGTTTGATGGTACACTTGAGAGATTATTTACTCAAACTACTTATTTCAGGCACTGTGATGAATTCATGCATTCATTTAGCAAATATCTATTGAGAAGCTGCTCTGTGAAAGATACTATGCTAGAGCCTTGGAAGTATTCAAATAATAATCGTGATTATAATGATTATAATAGCCAACATTATTGAGTCTTTGTCATATTTCAGTTCTGAGTAGTGTGACATGACTCTGCAGCTCTGGCCAATTTATCTTTTTTTTTTTAATTTTTTTATTTTTTGACAGGCAGAGTGGACAGTGAGAGAGAGAGAGACAGAGAGAAAGGTCTTCCTTTGCCGTTGGTTCACCCTCCAATGGCCGCCACGGCCGGCATGCTGCGGCCAGCGCACCGTGCTGATCCAATGGCAGGAGCCAGGTGCTTATCCTGGTCTCCCATGGGGTACAGGGCCCAAGCACTTGGGCCGTCCTCCACTGCACTCCCTAGCCACAGCAGAGAGCTGGCCTGGAAGAGGGGCAACCGGGACAGAATCCGGTGCCCCGACCGGGACTAGAACCCGGTGTGCAGGCGCCACATGGCGGAGGATTAGCCTAGTGAGCCACGGCACCGGCTGCCAATTTATCTTAAACTGATAAAATCAGGGCCAGCACTGTGCTACGGTGGGGTAAGCCTCTGCCTGCGATGCCAGCAAGCATCCCATATCGGAACACTTGTTGGAGTCCCAGCTGCTCCACTTCTAACCCAGCTCCCTGCCAATGCCCCTGGAAATATGAAGATGTCCCAAATACGTGGGCTTCCATCTTTGATGGAATTCTAGGCTCCTGGCTTCAGCCTGGCCCAGCCCCAGCCATTGCAGCCATCTGAAGAATGAATCAGCAGATGGAAGATCAGTTCTCTCTCCTCACTCTCCCCCTCCTTTTCCCTCTGTCACTCTAAATATGTGTGTATATGTATGCATATGTGCATATATAATATACACATTATATATATAAACAGCAGATAGAACCCTGCATCTAATTCATAGGAAACCTCTGTGAGCAGGCATAGGCTCACCATCCTGGGTTCTCTGTCGCAGGGAATTTAAACATACAACTCCAAAAAGGGAACACTGACCAAGGTGTGCAAAAACAGGGAAGCAAACTGAGAAGAACCACAAAGCTCAAACATAACTCCTAGCAGCAGAGATTGGGAAGAGGAAATTAGAGAGATGCCCAAAGGACCCCAGGATGCTCTTGTTTCTCTCAACTGCAGCAAAGCAAAATGTTTATCTCAACAATGAAAACAACAAATTTGATATATATATATATTTAAATAAATAATCTAACAGGCTCTACATAGAATTGAATATATAGGAGATTGTGGGGAGCAAACCGGACTAGACTGAGTTACAGGAATTAAGACTTATTCTATGCATCTGCTCTCCCACAATATGGCGCTGGGAGAGAAGTAAACAGCTTCCGCACAGCTGCCTCCAGTTCAACCAATAAACTGTAGGACTTGCTACTGATTGGAGGAGAGCAGCGTACTCGGCGTGTGGGCAGCCGAGTTAGGATTGGCGGAGGAGGACTATAAAGGAGGAGAGAGACGGCATGCACCGGGAACATCTAAGGGGAACATCTATCTGAAGGAACACCTGTGCAGCCCCCGAGAAGAGCCGGCCGGCGGTGTGCCACTCCCCTGCGGAAGTGGGGAATGTGGCCAGGGGGAACTGCCCTTCCACGGAGGTGGAAGGGATAGTAGCCAACCCGGGAAGAACCAGCAGCAAACCCGGGGAGGGCCGAGCAGACGAAAGAACAGCGCAGGGTCCTGTGTTGCTCCTCCACGAAGAGGGGGAGCGACATAATGGTGCCGTGACTCGGATATGAAGCCTAGGCAGGGCTTGGTGTCGTTCCTCCACGAAGAGG